GTTTTGTGTGATGTAGAAATAATTTTATTACTAGGTGTGATGTAAAAAAAATGTCTTTGTGTGATGATACAAAGCCTCTTTGTTTTAATGTTGCTATGGAAAACATTTCCCATATTGTGCAGAATATAACAACTGCAGGTTAAAAAGTATGAACATTCCATTTATTGGCTTTATAGAAGATATTTGAGACTAAAAATGTGCAGCTTATTTAATCTTTTCATTTCCTCAAATAGTGAATTATTTTACAGATGTATAAATTTTTCACAGTCTATAAAATTCATGAGGAAGAAAATCTATAACTATGAAAATGAACATGTAATTTATTGTCCTAAAGTGGAATTATTTTACATGAAAGGATATGATGTTAAAATAAGCCACATGCTGTGGGATAAATGTTTAATCAATGTAAATGCAAAAGAGCTGTATAAGTTAAGGTTGTATGAAGTTCAGTACATATATCATGAACTGTAGTCAGAAGTTAATCTGTACAGTTCAACCTATTTTACTAGTTTATTCAGCAGTTAAAATGCTCATTATCATCTAATAATAGACATCTAATAAAGAAAGGATGAAATGCCTTTTTCTGCCTTATTCAGAAATAGATGTTGGTTCTAAAGCAACTTTAATGTGTTTAGGTCTTACTTAACATAAATTACTAATTCCAAGTGTCTGATTCTGATTTCTATGAAACAAAAATTGAAGTTGAAAATAAGTAAAATCTATGACCATCTACAAAAATTGGCTGCATGATCAAAACATAATAGGTACCCTTTTCCAATTAAATTCTATTTTTACTGTTTGCCCATTACTTACTCATTTAATGGAGAAAATTTTGATGGAGAAGATTTTGATGCCAATTTACTGTTTTCCAATCACTTACTCATTTGAGGAAAATAGATTTATTGTTATATTTTATAAGTCGCCCACCAAGTCTTTATTTAATGAAGACTTGGCCATTTACTTCAGTTTTATATTCTATCTCTTACTTTAAAAGCTGTGCAGATAACAAATATAATGGCATGTTATATGAGCTAATGTTCAATTTTTGTCTGTTACATTGAAATTTCATCTGTTAATAATTAATGATAAAATCCTCATTTAAGTCAGTTGAAAAATGTCATATTCAATATTTTCTATAGAATTCCTGAACAGTAGATGAGTAGTATATTCCCAAGGCTTGCTTTACTTTCACTAAAAATAAATCTACTATGAAGCATGTCAAACAAATGCATTCAATCTGCATAGAAACACTATGGTTTCACTTTGTATACAGCATTTCTTCATGAATTTTTAATTCCAAACTATGGACTTGTGTTACCAGTCCTATTTATTAGATGATCTATCACTCCTGTGCTATTGCATTATATTTGGTATATGGTCACTATTACAACATAGCAACACTAAAGCAAGGTTCCTTGTACAATCATATTCTTAATTCAAAGTATTTTATTGTTCAAATATCAAACGTACATTTAAACAACAAATCCTTTCTCATACAAGATGGATTGAATAATCTGATAGTATATAATATATTTCTGATAATTCATAGATCATTCAAAATTGCAGTGAGTCAGGGGAGACAATCATATAAAGGACTGAAAGTAAAAACTATGAATGATTGATTGTTGTTTGTTTAATATCCAATGGCTAACATTTCATACATATTCAGGATGAAGGCAACTTTAGCATTGTTCAAAACGACAAATGGATCAGACACAAGTTTTACAACTTAGTAACGTCTTCTACAAGGCAACTTTGAAGATGAACAAGTTGACGTTACGCACGGTATTTGGTCTATTTTTCACTTGACCATTTCTTGATGCAAAGTAGGACAAAAACAAATCAATTCTACGCATTATTAAAAAGTAACTTGTCTGGATACATCATTTGAATCAAATTAAATAAAACCTGATTTTAATAAATTTAATGTTATGTTTTATTATATAACTAAGCAATGATTCTGTGTTCATAATGCCATTTTTGCAGTATAAGACGTAACAAGAACCAACCATCCAAATATAAACGAAGAAAAAAATATAAACTGCTGAATGGATTTCAATAAAATTTGTACAGGTTGGATATAATATGATCATATTCATGGCGTGAAACGGTCACGGTAAATATCATGTCAGTTCGCAGTCTAGCGTCCATTTTCGAAATTCCACAGAGCTGTAAGATATGAAAATTCAAGTACACAAAAATGAAAGCAAGCACTTCGATATTATAATATTTTCACATAAATTATAGAAAAGGTATGTCACCTTAACATTAAAATGTGATTTTATTAGATTTTACGAACACATTTTTTATTTTAACATAACTTACATCATTTTATTATTTTCAGCATTTTCCGTGTCTCCCTTAATTGTTACCATAGAACTATTGTTCAAGATTTTTCAGTACCATGACAATTTATGGTATTTCAAATTTGTGACAGACAAATGAACTATGAAAACAAATGTTATTACTGAAACGTGATTTTTTTAAAGATTTGTTTAAGCCATCAATGTTAAGGAAACGGTCAATTTTTCATCAATTTTCTGCAAGATGTCTGTGTCTCCTAAATATGTTACCACGTCTAAATTGAACGTTTTTTGCACGAAACGTCAATGTAACCTAATATATATAATTTTATTTTCCATTGACTAAAAGTCTTGCATGTCATTTGCATTTGACACGTTCTGTATAATGATATTATTTTGGGAGATAATTTTTTGATAATTTCTTTTAAGGTAATAAATCAACATGAAATTTGACTTCCATCAAAGTTTTGTAAACCATGTGCTGATTTTAAAGGCGTCCAATAAATAATAATTATATTATGCAAAAGGTTAATTATTTTTGATGCAAAACCTTTGCGTTTTAAGGCGTGTAGAGTGGTTGAAAAATTGCCAAGCATGATTCTCTTGAAATAATCACGCAATTTTCAAATTCATGGGTTAATTTTCACGTAAAATTTTGCGAACATTATCGGAAATTTTCGGATTAGTATATGTAGCACAAGCTTTAATAATACCGAAACTTTCGATTTTGGGACCTAGTCACAGATATGTCTCCGCTGGTACGAATGTTTGTTTTATACACTAACAGTCATTTCCACGCATCCGATAAACAGGCGTATGTGAAAAATACTCATTTCAAAGGCTGTAAATCACTTTTTAATTTTAAATAAAATGAACAATTCTAAAATAAAGTTTTCATTCCAAATTCTGAAAGACCCTGATATTAATCACAAACTGTAGTTTAAAAACTACAGTTGAAGGCGGGTTGATAAAATTTAAACTCTTGAAGCACAAAACAGCTTTGGTGCTGGCTGTTTTCATGCGATATCTATACCTAGACTTAGATACTTGTAATGATGGAATCCTGACCATCCTAGAGGATATATATTTTGCAACAATTGACAGTCTTGGGCAATGACAAATATTTGAAATATATACTTTCAATAAGTTAATATTATGATGAAATAAAGATTTATGTGTAAAAAATATATAATCAGTCATCTTAACTGTCTATTTATTTTTTTTTTATAAATAGTGAAACATCAAAATGCCAGCTGTATAAAAAATAATATTGAGGTTTTTTACAGTTATCGCTTGAAATAATAGAAAAACAACGTCAAGTAACGTTACCATTACTAAACTGAACACCGTGCGTAACGTCATTATATACTGTATCATTCTGATTCCAGCAACAGTCTAACAACACTTACAATAGTCAGAAATATTTTATTTTAATATTCAAGGCGTTTTTTCCATGAGTCAACTACAAGCTATACAAACATCATTCTCCTAATGAACGCTGTAGGTTTTATTGGGAATTATAACTTGTTAAGAACCTCCCTATCAATTTTTTATTTGATATAAGTACAAAAGTTACTTGATATAAGTACAAAAGTTACAGTTTATATTGAAGCGAAAAATTTACTTTTTAATTTTTTGTTTTACTGTTTCAATTTACTACAAGTCACGTTCTGTCTCAAAACAGTAAGTGCAAAATTGTTTCAGTACTTTAGCCTTTGTAAAAAAGATAACAAATTACTTGATGCATATGCATAAACTATCTCTTCAAATAAGACTTTGTATTAAGTCTAGTTTGCATTAAACCCAATAAAATTTCTAGTTAAGGGTCTGGATTTAGTTTGAAATCATTAAAAAAGAAAATGAGCTAATGGAAATCAACTTCTTAAATGTGAGCAATCTTTCCCAAATTCCCCAAATTGTTCTTTTCAAATTCAAAATAATCCCTGTCCAGACTCAAAAAAGAAAAGATTGTGTACTAACTGAAAATTTAGAGAGTCTGCCAGTCTAGAGTTAAATATCATATCTCATATTATTATGTATGAGCCTAATACCATATGCAGTAGGTTTACCATGATCTGATAAACAAATTACTATTGATAAAAGGCTCTTACTTTTTTATGCACATTTCATTTAAATTTAGCTTCATTAGACGTTCCAGGGATCTTGGAAAATTGCTTTAAAGAAAATGTATAAAATTTCATATGCTTTGGCTGATTGACTGACTGATTGATTGAAGGTGGCTTATGGTTTGATGGACTGATTGGTTGAAAGTCTATTAAGGTATGCTTTGATTGAATGATTGATCAAAGGTGGCTTAACATATGCTTTGATTGAATGATTGATCGAAGGTGGCTAAACATATGCTTTGATTGAATGATTGATTGAAGGTCCCTTAAGATATGCTTTGATTGACTGATTGGTTGAAGTTCTATTGACATATGCTTTGATTGAATGATTGATGGAAATTGGCTTAACATATGCTTTGATTGATTAACTGACTGATTGAAGGTGCCATAACATATGCTTTGATTGATAAACTGACTGACTGAAGGTGCCATAGTATATGCTTTGATTGATTGATTGATTGAAGGTCGCTTAACATGTGCTTACCTCATTGCCACACAAATTGAATTAAAATGTGGAAACTTTTATTCAATGTTTTTATGACCATACATTTAAGATCTCATCTGTACCTACCTAGCCAGTTTCTGTCTAAATAGATGGCAACAAATGAAGGAGGAATGGTAAAATAATCCACAAAAGAAAATATTTCTAACCAAAACAGTAACTTGTCGTTTGCTGCAACAAACTGAAAAAAAAAGAAATATCATTTTGACACATGTGTTATTGTAAAGTCATGGATGATGGTTGTAACACATTTGATATAGGTTTTAAATTCAATAGGTACAGTAACAATTATGATGGAGACATTCTCATTATGTTGCTACTGAAAACCAAAACTCAATGTAACATGCATTTAAATTACTATTTGCATTCAAGCAAGAACAATTAAATTGAACATCTGTACCCTGCTTGAAATGAACTGCAAAAGGTCAAAAATATAAATAAATAAATATTAACTTAACTATTGGATGTGAAACTACTCATTACCTAATCATTTACAAAGATCAGACCTGTATCTCCTAGAAAGACTGATTATATTTAAGAAAGAAAATTATAACTTTCTTGAAATTGTCCAAGTCTAAGGGTTGTACCAGGTGAAAATAGGTAAATTGTCCAAGTCTAAGGGTTGTACCAGGTGAAAATAGGTAAATTGTCCAAGTCTAAGGGTTGTACCAGGTGAAAATAGGTAAACTGTGACAAAATCTGCATGTTATCCGTAATTACTCTGTACAGAATTTAATATGATATATAAATACAATTATAATCCTTACAGATGGTTCATCATTGTAAAGATTTTTTCATTTTCATGAAATTTTCTAAACACTAAATAGACAGAAACCCAACCACTCAAGTTAACCGAAATAGACATTAAAAGGTCAACATGTGGTAAATGTGGTTATCAATTCATATTCATTTATGAATATTAGAAACATAACAATTTTTTAAAATTGGGATGTGCTAATACTACAATACATGAAGTTGATGCTAACATTTCACATGGGGTATAATTGGGCTGCTGTTTAGCAATATATACTTTTGCTTTTTTCCTTGATTTGCATTTCTCATCTTTTATGTATGACAAGGAGAAAATCTAATTCATGTTATCAATCTACTTTATTTCAATGATAAAAACTGGAGTATTGTTACTGAAACTGTAATACAGTTTTTTCCAATAATCTTTAACAACAATGGTTTACAATCCTATCACCAATCGTGGATCAATTGATATCTTACATCAAGAATGAGTTTATCAAACAAAGATTTGATTTTAAGAATTGATGAACACCAACAAACAATAAATTTTCTTTTTTCTATTTACACTATACAAGTTAGAATGTAAACAGCTGCAATAAAGAAAAACTTCAATATCATATCTTTTTTTTTATATAAAGAACACATAACAATGTGACATCTATTTGGGATGCAAATCATTCATATTTACATATGTGATTCATCAAAAAAAAGAGTCTTAAACAAAAATCACTACAGGCAAAGGGAGCAAAGCCTAAGATCAGAACTTTTTATGAACCTCTACTAGAGATCATAATGACAGCTAGACCCAACATAAAATCTGAAAAATAAAATTGTTTGTGACCTTATCTTAGTAACCTAAGCTTGTATGTAGGGGTAATCAAATGAATAATCAACATGTAAAATCTCTACCATACTGTGTAATTCTATCATTAAAAATAGTCAATGGGAAATGTGGAATTAGCAAAAATTGATTTAATTAAAAAAAAAATCTATATAAGCAGATGTCATCTTATTGCAACTCTCAGAAGTAACAAATCTGACTTAATATCAAATTATCATACAAACTGAACAAAATTTCAAACCATTTTTGCTTCAATATTTTACAGTTGCCAATTCTTTGCACCATTTTCTAAGAAAAGCAATTTCCAAGTTGAAAACAATACATCAGATCTATTACTATTTGCTATAAAAAAATTAAATCTATTTCCATCTATGTCAAAGATTTGAATCATTTGTAGAATATCAATTACATTGAACAATTCTTAGTTATTACATATAAAAAGGATGAAAGCAACAAGAAAAGTTGAATATTTTTCCAAGACAAAAACCAAAAGTAAAACAGATATGGCTCTAGAAGATACACTGGCATACAGTCAACAAAATTGAAACAGTTCATCAATCAAATACATTATCAATATTGGCAATAGATATTACTTATTATCAAAAGTGTATCCTAAAGGTATTTTCTAGTAGTGCAAATAAATCAACAATTCCTAAATATCTGACGACTGAAGATATATATATATATAATATATATCTATATCAATTGATTGGTGGTTGCTTTACGCCTCCTCAGCACAAAATGGCTATATTGCGGCAACAACTTATTTATATATCAAGACGATATCAATACATAAATTTGAGACTTATTCATTCCATTGTGAAGAATTTTTTTAAAAAGAGTTATTGCTTTAGGTTGTTAAAATTTTATACTCAAATTACAACTACACTTGGTTTGACTTTATAAATCATTCTGATCCTATAAACTGAAAAAAAAACTGTGTAGGAAATATAACCAAAAATGTCTCATGATCTTGAAAACAAGACCATAACAAGTACATAAATTTCCGGAGAATTGTAATAAAGGAAAAGACAATTTTCTAGTGGTATTGATGTTCTAAGGAAAGCGAAATAAGATCTCTCTCCTGAGAATGAAATCCAATCTCCAAGACAAAATCACTACCGTTTGTTTCTTTAACTGGAAAACTAATCTAAATACTCACTCGGATGAAAAAATATATCATGAAAAATACGTTGAAAGCAAGGTCTACTTGCTGGGAAGGACTGTCTGCCCATGGGTCACAGTTTTCTACTTCCTCCCTGAAAACATAAAAAAAAATTTTAAGGGTTAACTTTATTTTCATTCAATATAAATATTCATCTGACAACGTACATTTTTTCTCTCTGAAACACACAATGGTTACTTCACAGTGATGATCATAAGAGACATTTAATTATTTTATATGGTTATCTACAATTTCTATATGATTAACTTAAATTACTACATCAATTAGCAGATAAATATACTTTGTGTAAAAGTTTTCTGACATAATTAACATTTGCATCATCATCTAATTAGGCCAGAAATCTGGTACTTCAAAATACATTTATAGTTATCAATTATACTCCCACCCAATATTTTCTAAATCTTTACTCTAGATATTTTATCTCTGGAAATATGGCAACATTTGGAAGTTGGAAGAATGAGGCCAAAAATTTTAAAAGTTTTGAATAATAAAAAGACTTAAGGCATTATAACAATTCATAAAAAAAACACAATATGTTGACACAGGAACTAAGAACAAGTGTTCATCAAAAGCAAACGCAGTCACAGTAAAACTTAATTTACACAGTATCTGATTCTATGTACTACAATAAAATGTGACTTATTTTTGCCCTTTAGCCACGTATAGCTTGGAAAATGTAAAACCTGCTGTTATATTCCTGAAGGCTTGTATCTAGAGGAACGAAAGGAAAAAACATCCCACCCAATGACCCAAACAAGGTGCAAAAAATCAATCTACCATAAAGAATTGAATGCTTCTTTTTGTAACTATATTGGTGTGGAAAAGCACTGACCGAAGCACATTTTGTATGAAGCGGTGAAGTGCTTCATACTAAAAACGTATGTACAATCAACACTTTAACACCCTTATGAAATTACTAGTTGTCAAATCGAACATCTTTAACTAACTGGTTACTTGGATAATCTTTTGACCGATTAACCGGTTAACTGCTATAAAAGTTCACTGACAGTACTTTACAAATAGATGTTTATATGGCAAGATGTATTGAGGTGATTGTGGCATCCTTTCCTAGATCTTTCTGTAATGTTCATGTCGGTAGGTTAATGGTTCGAGTAGTATACACTAAATTTGTCTTTAAAATATTTTGCATCAGTACTTTGTTTGAAATATGACCAAACCTGTGATGTGGATGCTACATTTACATCAACTTGATATTTAACTAAAGTGAAATAATGAACCAAATCGTAATCTTTGATCAGCCTACATGCAATTGTTCAAAGTATATTTATAACCGTGTAAATGATGTTTACTTAAAATTTTGCCAAAAAGCTGATATACAATTTGTCTTTGTGCTAATTAATTATGTAAAATGGACTGTTTTCATGTTAATCAAGTAATCAATATACTGGACAATGGATTTCATTAAGTATCACGTTGATAATTTTCAAATCAACCCTTGTTATTTATAATATCATGACACTTTTATATAAAATGTATTGAAATTGAAAGTAAGTAGTCCAGTGAATCGGATAACATTTTTAGTATTCGATATTAGGTCCTTTCGACGGTTAACCGGTTAACAGATTAACCGTTGACAACACTAGAAATTACCAAAAAAGCATTCAATTCTTATAATTACATTATGCTACAACCATGAAATCATGAGTTATACAAAGCTTTGTGTTTGTTTTTCTGTGCATAGTGATGTTGTCATGGGAAGCATGTGCAGTCAGGAATGTTGCATTTTATTGAGAGAAATGAATGCCTCTGGATTTATGTCAGCCAATCGAAAGTAGAGATTCTTCTGAAACAACATTGTTGAAGGCCGTATAGTGACCTATAATTGCTTTTATCTTCGTCCTTTGAACTCTGATGGATATTTGTCTTATTGGCAATCATACCACATCTCCTTATTTTCATATTATGTTATATTTATGATTGGTACTAGTTTGATGTATATTCCATGTATCATGTGTATCTAGTATGAGTTATATCAGGTATGCTGAAGACCAATACTTAGGAACATCAAATACTTTTAACATTTAGGAACATCAAACAAAAATAGGCCTTATCAACAGTACATGTTCATCTTTACCTAAGGGTGTTGCAACTTAATTCGCAATCAGGAAGAAAAATTCAAATCAACTTAGAACAGAAGCAATGACTACTTGGAAGATGCAACCCGCAGACTGACACTCCAACAGAAATCACATATTTCACCATGTTTATGAAATCAATATGATATCACAGCTAATCTGTCTGAATTGAAGTGTCCAGATTATATTATCCAATTCATTTATCAAAAGAACTATCAAGATTTTGAATGGATTAAAATATTTTACAATTTTTACAATTTAAGGTGGTACCTAACACTACAGGGAGATAACTCTGTAAAAATCAACTAGACGTTTTAATCACGTTGTATTGTTAAGGAAATATTAAGCTTCTCAATGATCAAAATTAGTGTTTGTCAAATTGCTATATAACCAATGAAATTTTTCTGATAAAGTTGTTGGTTGAAATTTAAAAAATTTTTTATATTTTTGTCAAAGGGTCAAAGTAAACATTTTGTCAAAATTTTATGAAAATTAAACAAGCCAAATTAATATTAGTCAAGGTGTTGGGTACCACCTTAAGTGGACAGATAATGGCCCCTGTATATCATACATCCTCCCTTTCCAAAGACAACTGTTTTTAATTTTTTAAGAACAGTAATAGATAAATGATAGTCTATGCTTTTGCTGATTCCATTGATGTCTTTATTGAATATGTTAAATGGTATTCATTATGTTCATTTCATTTATACAAATACTATAATTCACCTACAGGTAACAGCAGTATATTGTTTGTATACAATAGAAATTGATCTCCAAGTAGCAATCAATATTTTAAAATAATTTTTATTCTATTAGATAGGTATAACTTGCAGTATTGGAAATTAATGAAGGAAACAGGAATCTGAAATTTAATATCTAGTGTTCATATGTGACTGGTGATGCAAACACAAATAGCTAGTCCTTAGCAACATATTAAGTTTTCAATTAATATTTTATAAACTTCACCATTGAATGAATCATTCAAAACTTTATGTAATTCAAAAAGCAAAAACTTACCCAGAACTACAAATAAGAAAAGCCTCTTAATATTTACTGATAAATGTTTTTTTTCTATAATTTTTTTCCACAATATATATTCTATAAAATTAACATGCTTAGTATAGAATATTCCTAATATAAGCAAATGAGTATACTAAACGAAAATTAAAAAAAACAACTTCAAATCTATCATTTACACATAATGAATTAACACTGCATCATAACAATCAAAAAATAATAAGAGGTGTTATGATTGCCAATGAGGCAACTCTCCAACAGAGACCAAATGACATAGAAGTTAACAACTATAGGTAACTGTACAACCTTCAACATTGAGCAAAACCCACAGTCAGCTATAAAAGGCCCAGAAATGACAAATGTAAAACAATTCACTAGAGAAAACTATCGGCCTGATTTATGTACAAAACAATGAAAAAAAAACCAAATATGATATACAGCATCAAACAACAACCACTGAATTACAGGCTCCTGACTTGGGACAGGCACATACAGAGTGTTGCAGGGTTAAACATGTTTGTGGGCACCCAATCCACCCCTAACCTGGGAAAGTGGTGTAACAGCACAACAAATGAACAAACTATAAAAATCTGTTGAAAAGGGCTTAACTCATCAGATCGATACAAAGCAGAAAAAACAAGTAACAAAAAAACAGACAGGACGTGGCAGGGTATTTATAAATCCCTAAAACAAAAAAAGTCTGTAAGTACAGATCTGAGAGTACTCGCAGTTACTGACAGCTAGTTTAAAGCCAATAACAACTTTAGAAAAAACATGTATCTAAGACAAAAGTATCAATCAGTACACATCCAACATCCTATGGATTTAGTGAAAAGATGTCATTAACAGTAAAAGAAAAACATGAAAAAAAGCTTGTTTCAATCAGCTCCTACTGACTCAAAATTATAGATTTATAAAAACAGAGTCAATTATAGTTGCCTGATTCATCAGAGTCATCAGGTACAGTTCTAAAAGGGTCCAGTCATAGCACTTATTCACAAAAATTTGATCACAATAAGCAAAGTATTTCACATGTTCAGAAAAAAATATGAGTATTAGCATTCAACACTTACTGGATTTTTTAAAGGTTTAACGTGCAGTTAGGTTCCTTATAAAAAATCCAACTGGACTTAAAATAATATGGTTGTCCAAGAATTTGCCTAGCTGTATAGCAAATAGTATTCAAAATCAGCATATTAAAGAATATGAATATATCAATACAAAGATTGATGCTATTTATATTGAATATACCTTATTCTCAACATTGATTCAGTAATCTATACTTCTACTGGTACGGTAATCCCTTAGTAACCATAAATTCTACATCAAAAATACTAGGAAGAAATTCATATATTATGGACAATAATTTATATTTGGAGTCCAGGGCTAGTTTATATAATAATATGATAAATTCCTTTGGAGCACGGGTGGGGGGATTTGGTATTGATGGCAGATAAAATTGTATCTGTTGAATTTATTCACTACTTTTTTTACTACAAATACTTGCCACTGGACAGTAAGCAACCAACAATCAATCAATCAATCAATCAATCTACTCAGGTCAATTTAGAGCTTGACATATGTTGTATTATAAAACACACATATATATTGTTGGACTGTATGCGCCCTTAAGCTGCCTTTTGTTTTTATGTTTCTTATTGTGAGTAAATGATGTATACCTTGACATCTTTTATTCATATCCTCCATCATTATCAATTAATGCAAAAATTAACAATTCTAAATGTTATCTTACGAAAATAGTAATATTTCTATTATACTTTTAAAGTGATCATTAGAGAATGTATATATGGAAGTGACAAAATATACTCTCAGTTGGATAGTAGAACATTCACATAAAATACCTTCAGGACATAGTTTAAGAAATCCAAAACAAAAACATAAATTAGGGATCCCTTAAAGTTGAGGATTGATAAATATTACTTACGTTGAGGCATCTATAAAGTAGATAATAAGCGATGCTATACTCAAAAGAAACACCAAACCAACCTGTAAAATAAATAAATAGTATTGTTGTCAAGTTCCTTTTTCCCATGTTTTTTTCTTTTGAAAAGGTTTTTGCACAATGCATTGTCAGAGACCTAGTAATCTTCTTCTGGTTTGTGACGTTATGAAATTTCATAACTTATCCCGATTAGATTAAATATTGATAAGGTCTTTGAGTCATCATGGTCATGGCTTTACTTTTATTCACTGTCACAACTGTAACAAGAGTGCACACGCTGAAATGTCTCGCCTTCTTTACTAATCATTGATATTATGTTGATAGTCCTATATATAAAGCTTTATTAAAACTGTCACATAAACTTAACATTAACCAAGAAAACTAAACATTGACCAATGAACCATGAAAATGAGGTCAAGGTCAGATGAACCATGCCAGGCAGACATGTACAGTTGACAATTCTTCCATATAACAAATATAGTTGACCTATTGCTTATAGTTTAAGAAAAACAGACCAAAACACAAAAACTTAACACTGAGCATTGAACCGTGAAAATGAGGTCAAGGTCATATAAAACCTGAGCGACTGACATATAGATCATAAAATATTTCCATACACCAAATATAGTTGACCTATTGCATATAGTATTAGAAAAAAAGACCAAAACTCAAAAACTTAACTTTGACCACTGAACCATGAAAACGAGGTCAAGGTCAGATGACACCTGCCAGCTAGATATGTACACCTTACAATCATTCCATACACAAAATATAGTAGACCTATTGCATACAGTATAAGAACAAGAGCAACTTAACATTGACCAATGAACCATGAAAATGAGGTCAAGGACAAATGACACCTGCCAGACAGACATGTACACCTTACAATCATTCCATACACCAAATATAGTTGACCTTTTGCTTATAGTATTAGAAAAACAGACCAAAACACAAAAACTTAACATTGACCAATGAACCATGAAAATGAGGTCAAGGACAAATGACACCTGCCAGTCAGACATGTACACCTTACAATCATTCCATACACCAAATATAGTTGACCTATTGCTTATAGTATTAGAAAAACAGACCAAAACACAAAAACTTAACATTGACCAATGAACCATGAAAATAGGTCAAGGACAAATGACACCTGCCAGACAGACATGTACACCTTACAATCATTCCATACACCAAATATAGTTGACCAATGGCTTATAGTATTAGAAAAACAGACCAAAACACAAAAACTTAACATTGACCAATGAACCGTGAAAACGAGGTCAAGGTCAGAGGAAACCTGCCAGACTGACATGTATCCCTTATAATCATTCCATACACCACATATAGCTGACCTACTGCTTGTAGTATCTGAGAAACGGACCTAATCACGTAACTTTAACCGTGATCACTGATCCATGAAATGAGGCTGAGGTCAGGTGAACCCTGTCTGATGGACATGTAGACGTTGCAAGGAACCCATATACCAAATATAGTTATCCTATTACTCATAATAAGTGAGAAATTTACATAACAAAAAAACTAAACTTTTTTTTCAAGCAGTCGCTGAACCATGAAAATAAGGTCAAGGACATTGGACATATGACAGACGGAAAGTTCGTAACATAAGGTATCTGCATACAAAGTATGAAGCATCCAGGTCTTCTACCTTCTGAAATATAAAGCTTTATACAAATAGTTTACGCCGCCGTCGCCGCCCCCACCTGAATTATTCGGGTTAGAGTTGATCTAGAGGAATTGGTCACTTGAGACTTGAATATCTCAAGAGACTTTGCTGTGACGATATCTGGAAGCAGTTTGTTCCAATCCTTGATGATGTTTACGAAGATGAGAGCTTAAGGGAGCAACCATTTAACTTCAAGGGGGGTTATGGTTTTTTGTCTGAGTCAGAAAATTTTTATTTAGTTTTTCGACACTATCAATCAAATTATTTTTTTTTCAAAATTTAACACAGGGTATAAGTATGGGGAAAATCTGGATTCAGAATATTTTTTTTTGTCATCTGCTTGACCACAATATTTTTTTCATCAAATTGGGGATCAGAATATTTTTTTAGGAAAAAACCATACCCCCCCCCCCCCCCTTTTGAAGTTAAATGGTCGTTCCCTAACTACTTTCTTGAATACGCTTTATATGTTGACCCCTATAAAAATATGGACCTGTTGTAATACTTATCCTAGAGGAGGGTAATGGATGTGAATGGTTAATTTTATGATAACTTGTATTTCAATAATTATGTTATCACTAAAAGTGGTCAGATGAAGACGATTTTTAAACAAAAATCATTAAATTATACTATACAAGTTGCCTTGGCTAAAACTAACCGGATATCTCAAAACTGTTCTCCAAACCAATGTCGTTACACTCGCGCCGGAAATAGTGAAAACAAGCATGCAAGTGGCCAGACTCGGACATATCTGGGACATAATAATGCTAATATATCATTAGTATAATAGTCCCAGGACATATATATAATACAACCAGAGACATTTGTCTAATACAATATATATATTGTAGTATATGTTTCTGCAAGTGACCAAGGTATGTGTATCTGTATTTATGTCAATTATCTCTTCCTTTCTATATAAACATGCTAAGATCTATCACTTATCTATCAACTATCCACTAACTGAAGGACTAAATGATGTAGATGTTAGCGACTAGTCATTTTTTTTAAAGGCTCTTGTTCTTAATAGTAAAAATGTTCCATTTCTTTGCATTTTTCGTGCAGTCTTTGGTCCAGTTCTCTAGGTTTTCCAGGTAAGGCTTGTTGCATGTAGTATAGTAGATCATAGTATATCACGTTCACGGTGATTGGGAGTTCCTATATGGCAGATAATCATCAGCAAAAGTATAACTGTTGATTAAACTGTATCTGGCAATACGAAAGGATGAGGTACTGGATGAATCAGCTGTTCACCCTGTCGCAATAGGATCGAAGTGTCCCCGGCAATCCCCCCTCCCCGGAGAGCTGACAGGTTGTTGACATGTAATAGTGGAAGAGAAGAGGTCGAATACGCTTCCTTGTGATTAGTCAACTGTCGCATCTTCCGATTCATCTTCATCAATAACGACTTTCATTTTCCCTTAAGTTAGGAACATATAAGGGGCGGGTCCAGGTGAGGGCGTAATGGGCGTACGCCCCCCCCCCCCCCTTTTCAAAAAAAAAAACTATCGTAATCTACTTATATTGTTACATTAGTGCATTTCACAATTATTTTATGTTTTTTAGCAAAATAAAGATCCAGAAAATTTTTCGCATCGCTCCGCTCGGCGAAACATTTGATTCTACGCCCCCTCTTTCAAATATCCTAGAAACGCCCCTGAATGATTTATTGAATGATCCTATTACACAATATTCGTCTAGTTTATGAAGTAATTTATTGTCTGATAGGGTGTCGAATGCCTTGGAGAAGTACAGCACGTCGAAGCCAGTTTGGTAACCATCATCATATGATTTCATCAAGTCATGTTATGTGTCTAGTAGTTCGGTTTCACACGGATAGCTAGACCTAACTCAATGGTTACCGGTAATGTAAGCTCTCTGTGCTCACTCAGTCTCTATGTGTTTTACCATGTGCTCGCAGATGATCTGTTCCAGTATCTTACAAGATACATATGTTTATGATGCTATTCTGTAGCTTTCTGATGAGAGTTTAACTACTTTCTTGAATACGCTTTATATGTTGGCGTTTAACCAGTCACTGGCCCGGTAATGTTCCAGTTTTTATGGACTTTGAGTATAAAGATAAAGTCTAAGCAATGCTTAGCCGTAGCGGAAAATATGTACATTATTATGAACTATATAATTTAATGCTATGAAACTTATATCTGATGAACGGGATATTGAGAGGACTTACAAAAAGTATTTCCAGGACAATACCACATACTACACCCAACAACCATCACACGACTTCCTCGAAAAATATATGCGTACAAACACAGTCTAGATAGCCTGACTTTTAATTGACATAAACTGTGGCTGGCTTAAACCAGTACAGTATATGACAGTTTTTCTTTTAAATTTCAAGTCCAATTTGAAGATATTCTTTTATGTGTATAGGTTGATCCCCCTAATTCATGTAACTTTTAGTTAAGTTTCTATTTTTATGTTGCACATCATGTTGTTATTTCTTTCAAGTAAGCTGTCTTATTTTATGATGTACCAATTTTTTAACTCTGATGATGACATATGGATATTTCTTACTTGTTTGTATATATTCATTCATTCCATATGCTGTTAGACGCATTTGTGGATTCGCCGCCCGCAAGTACCCCCGTTGTAAAGGGGTAGTAGTTTCTTAATAAATATACAGATACATTGTATATATATATATATTATGAAATGTCATTTGTATCTATTTTTTATGTAAATATCAGTTTTACTTTTTTTATATAGATAATTGCATTGTTTGTATGTAGATAAACCTATATCTTCCAAATATCTAATTATTTCAAATGGCAAGATTTTGATGAAATATTGAATCCGAATCTATGTATCGAACTTAATTAATTTAAAAGTACAATTGCATGTCATCTGAAACCGTTACGTAACTTCTAAAATCTATATGTAATGTGAAAACTGAATTACCAGTATCATAAAAATGACATGTATTACTTTACAAATACATAGAATTGCATATATCTTCAAGTGACAAGTATTACTTTATAAAAACATAGAGACTAAAGTGTTATTGCACATATATATATATATTGTGATTTATTGTCTATAAAACTATTGAATTATTCGAAATACTAAGGTTTGTTACCCCCAAGAATAGATTGCCTGTACCGTATTTGGCACAATTTCTTGGAGTTTTCAATTTTAAATGCTCTTTAACTTTGTATTCGATTTTAGCCTTCAAACTGTTTAGATTCGAGCGCCACTGACGAGTCTTATGTAGACGAAACGCGCGTTTGGCGTACCAAATTATAAGCCTGGTATCTTTGATGAGTTGTACAAGAACATTTTTAATTCAATTTTCTCAAAAGACCCTTCACTTTTTAAAAGTTATATTGACTGCAAGTAACTTAAATTATTTACATTATTACATTATTCTTTTCCATCATATACATTTATCGCTAGGGTACCAATTTCTATGTATGTTAAATTAGTTACCTTCGTTAAATAAAGAATTTATTATTATAATCAACGCTGAACGGAACCTATCGACTTGTGTAGTGACAGCAGCTGGTGGTATATATATAGAATGGAATTCAAATGAGCAATTATCTATCATTGTCTGTTGTATTCTTGAGTGAACACATGTGTTATAACTTATATATTCTTTTCCATCATATACATCCATCGCTAGGGTAACAAACATCACTCTTTGCATAATAATGACTGATAGGTTGCCAAGTATTCATAATACATAAAAATCACCAAACACTTAGATTGCTGCACGTGTATTTTTTTGTTTACTTATCCTCGGGTTTATACGACATCTTTTACATGGGTTGGAGTAATAAATACATTTTAGGTACTTGTATATAGATATAGGAAGATGTGGTATGAGTGCCAATGAGACAACTCTCCATCCAAGTTACAATTTATAAAAGTAAACCATTATAGTTGTCAATATAACTTTTAAAAAGTGAAGGATCTTTTGAGAAAGCAAATACTAAGTACTTTAAACAATTGTATGAAAGCATATTAGTTTGATAGAAAATATTTTAAAAATCTTCTTTGACAATGTTTAAATGAAAAAAATGATTAATCCAGTTATTTTAGAATCATTTAATGATAGCATATCTAAAACTTAAAAATTAAATAAAGACCAACTTACCAAGATTCTTCCTGTCATTGTCTGGCCAGAAATAAGCTCGCCGGCCCAGTCTTTTGCTTCTGTCATCCATCCAATTTCTGGGTCTGGGGTCTTTAAGAAAATAGTACCTCCTCCAGCTCCACCAACTGTTTGGGAGCCTTTTCTCTTTTCAGGAATAGGTAAAGGTCCGGTATGATTTGCCACTTTTGCTTGAGGTATTTTTTTTCTTTTGTGACAACATATCCACAATATCAGACGGTATACGGCAATAACAACAATTCCAGCAATAAACGTGACAAGACTGGAAAGTAAGAAAATGTACCACCTTCTTTCTGACAGACAGTCATCTGTCGCAGTAGAGTTTGTCATCCTGACAGAAAACTTCTCAGTCTGTACTACACGGCTGCCACAGATATTTCTTCATATTAAATTTAAAGTGACAAGTTACAAGTTACAACAATTTGCTTACATTGTGAATATTGAATATTCCTACATACACAAGACTAAAATTTGTAGTATGTTTATATTTACTATTACTGTTGTTAAATCCCAAATGTCAATGAAAAGAAAACGAATTGATATACAGTGATTCTTCACGTGTGGTTATTCATCGTATTGAACTCCATATAGTAACTAGTCTACTACCTCCCTTCATCAACAGTCTGTGGTTTCCATGTCATCAGTCAAATGGTGTGGTGACAAATCACAATTATTAAATATGCTCCGTTCATTGAAACGGATTCTCTTCTGTAATGTTGTCACACAATAACGGAATATAAATATTAAAAGCTTGTTAGTCGATCATTTATCTTTCACCGAGGCGTAGCGTTGATTATCGATCTACTTCGATTTTCTTAACGTTTTCCTCACCATTTTGCTGCTCAAGAGTTCTGTCGTCAGCATGTACTATATAAATCCGATATTTCTACTTAACAACAAATACATGTAGATATATATTATCTCTGTCATTATTGGGATATTATGTTACTGTAGTATAACGATTTGCTCGATCGATTTTTAAAGGAAAAATCATGATTGAAAATCAAATGTCACAGCTGAATAATATACCACTACTAGTATAAACTTGCACCTAATAAGAAAGTTGATAAAAATGTCCAAGTATATCATATATAATTAAGCGTGTAAGCATAGCAAGATTAATTAGTAAATATAAATAATTTTTTTATATAATTTTGTAATTGATATTTAATTCTTATTTCAATTCAGCTTGGAAAATCGTTTTATTCCTAATTCATATTTGTGTTCTTATTACTAATACGCATGCAATTATTTTCTAGTGGTTGATCTTTAACTAATCGAGGTAAATTATAAATATTTAAGCTTATTACAGTGCTAAGTACATACAGATTTAAAACCTATGGAGTTCGGGTATTAAAGGTTCACAGTGGTTCCTCAAAGTATTGAAGGGCTAAATCAGCGATATGAGACTTGTTTATTGATATTTTGCGTCAAAATTAGGAATTGAAAAATAGGATCTTTCCCCGTCTATACAGTTTGATAAGAATAATTGTATATATAAGCCTGGCTACGACAAAATAAAGCCACAAAATATACAGAGAGCTTAGATGTAAGCCATGATAGTTTAAATCTCCACTAAACATCAAGGCAAGACTTCCATTTGAACCCCCTTACTAGTGGAGTTTTCTAATTCCTTCAACTAGGCAGGTTCAAATGGAAGTCTTTCTAAAAAAAAAAAGACTGTCTTGTAACATGTCTTCTAGAAAAGTAGATTGTCCCGTAGTTTTATATCGGACTAAATAGTAATCAATTGAAAGCTCTTTTAGTGAGCAAGATCAAAACATCCACACCCCCTTTTCATACAGGGGAAGAACTTATAGGATACTACTTGCGTATTGTATTTTTTATTGTTTACTTTTAAGTGTACGCCTCCTTTTTTCTTTCATGATTTCAGATAATAATATTGTCCTACATAACGATATGTCTTATTGCTGAATAAATAAGAGGATTATATGACGAGGGAAAACCTTAATCCAAATGTGAAGAGAGTACGTTAACAAGATGAGGGCCCTATCCAGTCGACAAGAATTAACATGGATATTTTCACAAATGCCGTTTCCTAATTAATGGTCCAATATTTCAGACTTTTATGATTTTCAAACCCATCTGAGAGTTTGAGGAGTCTAATACATCTAAATTTGAGGAGGACCGTGGGCCTACAATAATAAATTACCATGACCCCAAACCCCGATCTGAAATTGACAAACAAAAAATATAATTAAGAAAGGAGGAATTCACCTCTGGAAAATTGAATTTCAATTACGGTAAAATATGTGTCATTTAGTTGCAAATGATGACAATAAGGAAAAGAACAGAATCATGAGTATCCCAATCATATTTGATTGATCAGTATATCGACTCTGTATCATATAACAGAGTTCAATCCTGTAGTCACAAAGGCGTAGTGAAATTTAACTTTCAAATCTTGAAATATTGATTTAAACTCAGAATATCGACATGAGAAATCATGTGGCAATACAATATTGCTATTGTGATTTTTTTAACAAGTGGAAAATTTTGCAATTTAAACATTTCAAGAGCGATAAATCCAACATTTGTTTTTAAATTTCTGTTTACTCTGTTCTAAATGTAAACGTTCTTTATTTGACAGTCACAAATAGTTCAAACTGCCTAACGGCAACGGACAATATATACGAAAACCGGAAATATAAATATAGCTTTGGGCCATGAGACAGCAACCTGCAACGATATAAACAAGTGATTTTGCAATAACCAACGACTACATCTAAAGGTAAAAGTATAACTTGCGAAACGGATTGAAATATAAGAAAAATGAGAATTAAAGGAAAATAAAAGAACAGAGTTCCAATGTCACCGCGTTGCATATATTTTATTTATCCACTGGCAATAACTTATAAACAACTTTATTTGTTTTGCTCTTTAAAACTTTTTATAAATATCTTAGAGAAATGAAGGCTTTAGAGCAAATGCATTTGCTAATTCCGATATATATTTCTATAATACTATTTGGCTCGTGTAATAAATACATTAAAGTTTTAAAAATCGATGAGCCAAATATACAAAAAGTCAGAGCTAAAAAGATTATGTAAGCTCATAAAGTGTGTAAACAAACATGTGGATCCTCCTGGCTAAAATATATATTGTTCTAAAACCACTGTATTGTATATAAATGTTTGTAAATAGATGCATATTCCTGTACATATGTTGCACCCTCTCTGTAAAATTGAGAATGGAAATGGGAATGTGTCAAAGAGACAACAACCCGACCAAAGAGCAGAAAACAGCCGAAGTCCACCATCTATCTGCAATATTTATGAGAATAAATATATTATTATTGATATGATTAATATTTCCAAGGGGCATGCATAACTCTTTTAAAAATATTTATTCGGCACTGATTTTCGAACTTGTCCGAGACATTGCTGGTATAAACCTATGATATAAGTTTCATAAAATCTAGCAAGAATTGTACACACGAGAGCACTAACAATGCAATTTTCCATATAATTAATATTTCCAAGGGGCATAGCTCGTTTCAGTGATTTAGACATCGTCTACAGAAAATTTTAAGATCCCAAGAGTCTAAACAAGGCGTTCACCCAACAATAATGCTGTTTTTTTCTGTGTTGTCAAAATTATGAGGTCTACGTGTCCTGTACCTGTGTATTTTTATATCTTCTAAGGGTACACATTCTAGTTTGCCTTCATCATCTTCATCCTTTAACACAATAATAATATCGTAAAATATCAGCTGCTCGGCACAATATGAAGTCTTAATAAGATATACCCCCGGAACATTTAAGAAATACTGCTACTTAGGTATTTATATATCAGTAAATATTTGTTTTCGTTACCAAAGTACTGGTGGACTATTCTCGTCACATACAATACAATTTTCTTTTATTAGAAAATGATATACCGAGTAGTTTTTGAAACTGGTGAAATGTTCGAGATTTCATATTGATAAAATACTTGTTCATTTGGCGGAAGTGGTTTTTTTTCAACTGTGAACCAACTGTGAACCAACTGTGTCGTTCTTCTCGTCATTTCTTTATATGCACGTAGCATAAATGTGTTTTATCTCTTTTCTCTGAATTTGTAGCCATTAGTACAACTTGTTTCGATTTGCGTAAATTAGAGCTTTAAATAAAATCTAGATTTCTCTATTGTAAACACTTCAAGTTGGCCTTTAGTTGCCTTATAATATTATTTGTTCTTTTTGATTGCTGTGCCACTGACATGTAGGCATGATCTTATTATATCAATTGCGCAAACATACAAAAATCTGACAAAAAAGTTATAGAAACACGAACAGCAATACTAGTATACAAAATACGCTTTTTATAATAATCGTATTACTGTGTACGCCTATATTCTATTGACATAGTGGCAACCATATAACTCCCACCCCACCGGATTTTGGTTATTTTTTGTCAGTTTTCCCCCAAGAAGGACAGAATAGTTGTTACAGTTTCATAAAAAAGCACTTCATTACAAAATGTATATGGACAATGAAATAAAACTTTGGACTTCCAGCTCTCAACACAGTTCAGCTAAGGGGGTTTTGAAAAAAAGATATCTAGGGTCATATATGGGCCAAAAATGAATGACTATTGAAATCACGACTAAGTCGGGGGTCAACGAGTTTTCTATTACAGTAAAGTTTTTTTAAATAGCCTGTTTTCTCCAAATATTTAGAGATTCTAAAAGTTTTTTTTAAGTATTAAAGTAAACATAGACAATATCTAAACCTTCATAATATTTTAAATTAGTTGCTACCAAGAATTTTGGTTTATTAATAACAATAAAACGGAATTAGAATTTTGATGGGAACATGCTTTTTAACGATTGTGGTGCATGAAATAACCTTCATATATATATATTTGAGAAATCCCAATATGATAAGTAAACACGCAAGATCGTATATAGAAAATATAGCGATTTGAAAGCTCTTCTTAATTATGTAGTTATAAAATTCCTGTTCATCAATGGAATATCGAGATTATACATTAATGGGTTCAATATAAGATGAAGAATATCTAAATTGTGGTGTAACTTGTCCTGTATTACCGTTGGTTATTTCATGGAGAATGTATGTTCGTAAAGTTGACACATGTCAAGACTGCTACATCAAAGTACTCGTGACTTTTTTTAATGACATGATTCTATCTTTTTCAAGTCATTCCTTTAAAATTTCGAGCTAACAAATATATTTCTGCAGAATCATCCCGACTAGCATTCGGTTTTACATATTTCACATTTAAAAACAGTTTTCTCATTGCATCTTCCAGTAATTTCTGCTGTCCACCCATCCATATTTTACACAAAACTGCTCCATCTTTTTTCAATACCACAGTTGAAAATCTAATAACTGAAGAACAAAGTTCAATGATTTTGTCATGGTCCATCGATCTGTCACCTGAACAAGCGGGTGCCATGTCACTAAGAACCAAGTCAGCCTTTTTGTTACCAAGTTTCTGAAGAATTTCAGCCTGTGTTATAGCTGAGGTAAAGTCGCACTTGCTTAGTAAAATAGCACCGGTGATGGGGTTCACATGTTGCAGGTCAATGCCTATAGCAGTCCCTTTTGGCCATTTTATATCTGTAAAATATGAACACATTAACGGATTTCCACAAGATAAAACTATACCCATAAACTTTTGTATATTATTGTCTTACACAAACAGAATTATATTCCCACTAATTTTAAAGCAGTTTTAACCTTGTCAGTGGTTGTTTTTTGTTATATATATTGATGACTTATAGCTAATAGAATTTAGAGAATGTTGTGTTACTGACAGCTAGATCTTTGATTGTTCCTATTCAATTTATTTACGACTCATATAGTCTGAACGATTTATAGCTTGACACATTTCACTGGATAGTGAATTCCACACTTTTGGACCACTAAAAGAAAAAACTTGATTTATATAATTCTGTATTTGATTTAGGGACAATAAAATTATCTTATAATGAAAGTCGAGTATTGTACGATTGTTTACTATTTGTAGGTACAATAAGATTTGATAAATATTTTGGTGCCAGTTCATGTTTTGATTTATACATTAATAATGACTTGTCGTAAAGTATTCTCTTAGTAACGGGAATAATTCCAGATTCCTTAAATAGTTCAATAGATGGTTTACGAATATCGTGTTCGTTTAAAATAATTCTAGCTGCCGTTTTTTGCAATTTTAGTAAACTGTCAATTAATAACTTGTTACAGTTTCCCAATACTGAACAACAATAATCCAAATGTGGAAGAATATAAGCATTGTAAAATAGAATTCGTGCATTATGATTCAAGTATTTCTTGATTCTTTTTTGATAACGCTAATGAAGAATTTACTTTTTTTGATAATATGATTAATATGATCATACCAAGACAGAGTTTCGTCAACAAAAAATACCAAGGACTTTTTCACAGTGACTTTCATTAATATGTTGGCCATTAATGAATATATTTAATGTGTCATTGCACATGACAGACAGTTTTTGTTTTGAACCTATACACATTGTCTTCGTTTTTTGACACATTTACTAACATTTTGTTTTCATCACACTAATGACAAATATTTTCTAATACAGCATTTAGTGCCTGACTTATATACCTTTTGTCTTTTCCAAAGTGTTATGATTAGGATTACATTATAAAGGCAAATCATTAATAAATATTAAGAATAATATGGGACCTAAAACTGACCCTTGAGGTACACCTGCTTTTAATGTAGTTTCATTTGAAAAAGTATTTGAAATGGATACGACCTGATGTCTATCGGCCAAATACGAATTTAACCAATGAATTATAAGAACATTTATATTTCTGTAATTTATGAAGGAGCAGTTTATGATTTAGAAGATCAAAAGCTTTACACAGATCCAAAAATACTGCCCCTACAAAATTTCCTTCATCAATGGCTTTTAACCATTTATCAACAAAGACGTCATAGCAGTTTGACATGAATGGTTTGTACGAAAAAACCTGATTGCATGACATACAACAGATTATACTTGTTTAGAAAATGATTTTTACGTGTCACTCAAGGACTTTAGATATTAATAGTAAAATTGCAATAGGTCTGTAGTTAAATAATCATTTTCGAACCTTTATTCTAAAAAACCTGTCAAAACTTTAGCCAGTTTGAATAACGATGGGTATACTGATTTTCTGATGCTTAAATTAAAAATGTGATATAATGGAACTGAAATAAGGTGTGATGACATTTTTAAAAACTTTGCAACGATATTATCAAGACCTGTTGCTTTTGGATTAACTGATGGAGTACAAATTCATTGGTTGTTTGTGGTATGGTAAAAAAGACATTTTCTGGTATACGACTTGAAATATAATTATCAAGTTTTCCAGAACAACTGGTGCTTGAGTTTGAAGTAAGATTAATATTAATCGCCGGGGGGCGAGGGAAGAACAAAAAAATTTGCGAAAGCAAATTTACAGATCTAACGTTGTTGGGCTGATGTTTAGACGAGTTGTATATACAGAATGTACACAGCCATGTATCACCATCACTGCTGGTGATCCGACCGAGAAATCTGTTGTAGAGTTGTCACTAGTTCAGACGTACTTATATATATATATATATATATATAAAAGTCTAAATTGAAAACAACGTTCAAACCTATGATTGCGTTGGATAAAAACCGCAATTTTTATACGTGTGCATGCAAAACAAATTTCTTGGTAGAGGGGTCTAAATACAGCACAAACAACAGTTTCCAAAAGACCAAAAAAGTGAAAAAGTATATTTTAACAAAACGCATTTGACTAGCAGGTCGATCAACTGATGTTCTTAAACCCTGCTGACTGCCATTGGCGATTGCCAAATAAACGGATCACCAGATGTAACAAAATGGATCTTATAATAATTTATTACCAAACAGGAAACAATAAACTTGCGGAAAAGATGGTATACCGCAAACATGAGGTGCAAAAATGTGTACACCATATCCGGATTTCGATAATTAATGTCTCTTCAGTGATGTTAGGAATCGAAACGGTATTTGGAAGGCCAAATATATATATATATATAACCTAGTAAAATAGGCTTTTGATGAACATACATAAGTTCTATCCACTTTGACTCAATTTCTTGCATTTCCAAATCATCCGGTCTAAGCGTATTTATTTGTTTTGAAGTATAAATTAAAAGCCCACCCCCAGATTTACCAATTCTGTCTTTTCTATGTAAATAATAATTGTACCCTAGAATATTTATTTCTTTATTCTTGATACTATTTGACAAAAATGTTTCACTCAAACAAAATATGCGTGTTTGATTTGGATTCTGAAATTAAGTATTCTATTCAGCAAATTTTGGTAAAATATGGTTTATATTCAAGTGACAAATGTTAAGGGATTTATGTGGGAATATAAAAGGATTTATATGGGTATATTTGGAGCATTCTGATCTGTGCTCAAGAAGAAAAATATACACATAGTAGACACTGTCCTGTCTGTTGTTGCAGACTCTATGATGCCCTCTTAATGTCTTTTGTATATTTTCGTAGTTGGGCAATTGTCTGATTGACGTGTACTCCACATTTTCTGCTAGACGGATATGCTGCCATTTCGCGTTTTCGAATTTGATATTTTCTAAGGCGAAACGCGACATCGTGATGGCGAAAACGCATAACCGAGAAATGGTTTTAACTTCGCGTTTTCACGTTTTTCCTAGTGTTTTGAAAATAAAAGAAATTATGACCAAACGTTAAATGCATACATAAAAACATCAATATTGGAGCAAATATTAGATATATACCGGTACTAGTAATCTGGTTGTGTCTGTAAACAATCATACAGTACTAGACTTTTATCAACCGATAATTTTATTGTTCCTAAATCAAACACCATGAATGTAGTTAAACAAATCTGACAATTTTGTATTTTTGATTTTAGTAGTCCAAAAGTGTAGCACTCTACCAGTGAAATTAAAATTTCAAAAATTGTATCTAAATAACAAAAATATTTAGATCATATTATCAAGAGGGTGGTTTATTTGTAATCATGTTTTATCCGACTACCACTACATACGTCACTGTATCTGAGAGTCATCATCAGGAAAATTACCAAACGTGGAATTGCAAGGGAAATTGTACTGAACGAGCTCGTCATTCTACCAAGTATGATCCAGTGAAATTTTGGTTCCAACTAATGCAGGAATAAAAGATACGTCTTATAACCATCGTATCCCCAAATACACATTAAAACCCCACAATCTCCAAAGCTTAACACAAATAAGGAAACAAACCCTAGTTTTGAAATACCGGCCCGACTTACGGTATCTGATAACCGCCACGGGCCATTTCGTGCTGCTGAGAAAGACCTCATGTGGGAGACTTAATTGAATATACACTGAAAGGGATTATTGTGATCATAAATATATTCTTTCAATACAGAATTCTTAAATATTAAGCATATCATTGTATTGTCCGTAAGTATGCCGGCTAATAGTTATGAGTTTATTGTAAAACATAATAATAAAAAGTAATAGTTTATACTGGACTATGGTTTGTATATATTTTTTTACCAGAATAAACAGATCAGATATATTATTGAATCACATAAGTATAAGGTGGTGTACAACGTATTGAACTGATAAGGATGGATCTTTCAATTAATGCAGGAATGTATCACGACACACTACTTTCATTTTGATGTAAAATAAAACATCTTCTATGTAAATACTTTATGGTATAATAAATCTAGAATTTTTGTCCACATGATTTATAAATAACAATAATAGAGGACGAAGTCCCAATTACAGCAAGAAAATCAATCATGAAAAAGGAAAATAAAAAAAAAATCGATATATACTAGTGATTCAAAAATCGTCTTTTTTTAACAATTGCACTTGCGCATTCATGTTTGGAGGCTGTCATGTTGTAAAGCATATAAGTTCCAACAAATTTGTATAGGATATAAAAAGTATCACGAAAATACAATGAAATAATACGATATTTCACCATGTTCTTAGTATGCTCCCTACGAAGTATAAATGTCGATTGGGGTCTTACTCTGGTATCTTTGATGAGTTTTTTGGTACTAAAATAAACTTCAACAAGAGGGATCATACAATTTCCCGCAAATTTGTATATCTGACTACCGAAAAGTATGATGATAAATAAAACAAACATGCATCGATAACCTTCGGATGCTCAACAAGGATATCTTGATATAAAAATCCTTGTCATCAGGTAGCACCTGCCTCGTATTATATGTTCCAGAATTAAAGAAACATAAATGGTAGAAGTCCAGACTATAGTCTATACCACTACTAGCTGCGGAACCGAAGCTCTTAGGTCCTTGTGATATTTTTTTGAAAATTTGCGGATAATATATCTACGGTCCGCAAAATGTCAGAAAGATTTGTCATAAAAATACCATAAGGACCAATAAGAGCTACGGTTCCGCAACTATATCACTACGGTTCTGCGACACCTCAGTTCAACAGCATGGGTGGCCAATAAACTGTTTCCGGTTTTCTTTTCTTTTCGAGTTTTTCGTGTAAAACATCATAATGGAGCATACGATTTCCGTCAAATTTGTATCTGAGGACTATATACGATTTCCCGCAAATGTATATATCTGATTACCGAAAAGTATGATGATAAATAAAAGGCACTTGCAACGATTACGTTGAAATGTAACAATAACAAAAAAGTTAATGTTACATTGGACACTACTTGCCAGAATGCTAGGTTGGGTTAAGAACCGATTAATTACGAACGTAACAATAATATCTGTGTCCACGGTTACGTTGCGTTATTGTTACGTTAGATTTATTAAACTTTTAACCTACTACAGGTTTTTTTTATTAATTCTTCGATATACTTGATATTAATAATAAAAATAATTTTAATAATAATAAACTTTAGATGCGTTTGAATAAAAAATAAAACAATATCAAGAATCAAATTTTATACAGTTATTCGCAGTTCGCGAAAATTTAAGGTCATTCATGTCAAACAGCACTGACTAAACTAATTGATGAATGGTTAAAATATTTAGACAATGGAGAAATAGTTGGTACTGTGTTTTTAGATTTCAGTAAGGCTTTTGACCTTATAAACCATGCCATACTGTTAGAAAAGTTAAAATTTTATCATATAGATTCGATAAAATTATATTTGTCTGAGAGACAACAAGAAGTTCAATACGCTAACATTAAATCTGATAAATCGTTTGTAAAATATGGAGTACCTCAAGGTTCTATTTTAGGTCCTCTGTTATTTTTAATTTATATAAATGATTTACCACTTCATGTTAAACAATCCGACATGGATTTATATGCTGATGATTCAACATTGCATTTTCATAATAAAAACATTGAAAAAATAAACAGCATATTGCAAAATGATTTAAATGCTATACAATCTTGGTGTAACAATAACAGTATGAAAATGAATGCACAAAAAACAAAGTGTATGAAATTGGGTTCAAAACAAAAACTTACACAACTATCAGAATTATGTATTACCGCCAATGAAACATGTATTGAACATGTCAATTCTTTCAAATTACTTGGAATTGACATTGGTGAAAATTTAGGCTGGGAGGATCATGTTGATCGTATATGCAAGATTATCTCATCTAAAATATCACTTTTGTATAAAATTAAAGTATATTTGCCTATACACACAAGACAACTATTTTATAATGCATATATTCTACCATATATAGACTATTGTAGTTCAGTTTGGGGAAATTTATTACAAAAAGATTCAGATAGAATCATAAAACTTCAAAAAAGAGTAGCAAGAATTATACTTGAATGCGCTATTTCTGTTCCATCTAATTTTATGTTTTCATCTAATGCTATCTTTTACAAAAAGAATAAAATACCAACAATCAATTCTAATTTATAAAATTGTAAATGGACTAACACCTGATTACTTAACAATGCTAAATATTAATGATGTGCAACACCACAACTTACGATCTGTCTCTAATAATGATCTATTTGTTCCAAGACCAAATACAAATTTTTATAAAAAATCTTTTCATTATTCTGCAACAAAGGTATGGAATAATTTACCACTCAAAATAAAAAATTGTCGAAATGCAGAGTTCTCGAAAAGTGGTGGTCCTAAGGTTTTGACCACCAAAAACTGCTCAGGACCGACATAATTTCGGAATTTTGTAATAGAAATGATAGCGAGGATCAGCAGAATTTCTTCAAGGACCATCTAGGAAAATAAGATTTTGAGAACTCTGGAAATGTGGAATTATTTAAGAAACATTGTTATAATCATTTTCTTGAAATTTCTATGCAAGTCCAATACTAAGTAATTTGTTTTCTTTCTTTTATTGTAAGAATAAGAAAATTTAATCAAAACTTTACCAATTATTGCCATTTATATGTTTGAATGATTGAATTGTGTATATACTAGTAATATATATTGTATTTTAATGTATGAATGTATGAATGTTAACTGTATACATGTATTTTGTTGGAGGGCCTCAATGAAAATTAGACTACTTCTAATTGAGTTACCCTCTTTAAATAAAGAATTTATTATTATTATTATTATAGATACATCAAAAGCAAAGTTTGACAGCAGTGAACTAAAAGATCGAAAGGTGCAGAAATGACAGTCGTTGGATTGCCCAGAAGAACAAAAAGATTCGGCTTGTCGTTTCTCAAAAGACGGTCACATGAAAAAGAAGGTCAATAATTTGATTACAAAAATATGGGACAGTATATATTGAAGCAAGCTGAAAAAAAAATAAAAAAAGAAGAGTGAACATTTTTTAATGTAATGGCACTATTAATTAATTAATTCTTGATGCACTGTTCAAAAGAACAGGTTTGTACTGTCGCCAATAAGAACGAAAATTCGATCACCGAACAACTGGGCTCTGAAAATGAAAATTGGTTCATCTTCAGCTAAACACTGTTGACACATATCGGCAAATGTCAAATTCAATTGCACTCACAAATATTTCTCGACTTGTATTTTCAAGTTTTATTGGGTTTTCCCCCCATCTCATCCATGCTAAGTAGGATATTGAAATCAGAGATGAGCATATAACATCAGAAAAGGACGGAAATGAAATAATATTAAAAGACAACATAAAACAACCTCACATGTTTCCAACAAAAATTTAGGACGAAAATAATAACATTTCAAGAGTAAAAAAATATTTTTCACCTGAAGCATAGCAGATATGATCAGATATTGAAAGTTGCTATAACTTTAAAAAGGTATATTGCAAAGTGGAACTATTTAGTCTGCAAAACCGACGTGCAAATTGCTGCATCACTCGTTTGCGTCGGACTAAAACATGCTCCCAACTTGAAAGCACACACTGGATTGTAGAAGCTGCCATCAGTGTAAATAAAATAAAAAATCTGTATGCAATATTGTAGCATTGCAGTGTTTACGAATGAACGTTTCCAAGTTGCATTTTAATACATATTACTAGTCCCAGCATACATTGAAGTGCATTAAAGTAACAATAACACAACGCAACCGTAGACACAAGTTTTATTGTTACGTTCGTAATTAATCGGTTCCTTACCCAACCTAGCATCCCGGCAATTAAATTCCAATGTAACAATAACTTTTATTATACTTCATGTCAAGATGCCAGATTTTGATTGGTTGATAAGAGGGAGACAATTTACTCTATCCCATGGCAAATACTCTATTACCCTTCACGGAGACGCTTGATCAAGTGTGCGCTTTAATAAATACGGATGCCGGATTGTTATGTACAGGACGTCATAGTTTACTACTTTGAATTTAAAATTTAATAGACAGTAATAACAGAACATTCAGTATAATAAATTAAATAACTCATATCTGAGAGGGTGATAGAGCAGATTGTTATCCCTCGAAAAGACATTGTCAATCTTGGCTTCGCCTCAGTTGACAATGTTTTCTCAGGGTAACAATCTGCTCTATCACCCTCTCAGCTATATTGTGTTATTTTTATATTGTATTATTGTTACATTTCAACGTAATCGTAGCCAGTACAGACGTCCACCTATACAAACCTTCGGGAGCCTTATCAGGTTGCAACTGCCACATATTATGATGGTTGTAATGATCATTACTACTGTATATGACGTGTATATAGTAAGCTATTTAATCTAACAAATCCTCTACTGTATAGTTAGAAATGATGTATTACAAATTACATAACATGCAGTTAATAATACAACCTATTGCAATATTGTATTATAATTGCCAATCATATATTTTATGTATTATATAATTATTATACAATGTATTTTGTATTCAGCCTTTACCTATTGTTATAATTGCTGGTTTGCGCTCATAAATATTGTCTATTGTCTATTCATTGGAAATTCGTTATCAAATATTCTATGATTCTTTAAACTTACCATTATCATTTGCATTGATCTTCTGCACAATAACTTGCGTCCAAGATCCCGGAGCACACCCACAATCAATAACAAGTTGACCAGGTTTCAGTAACTTGTGTTTTGCATCAATTTCCAATAACTTGAATGCGCTTCGACACCGCCAATCCTCTTCACGTGCCCTTTTAACGTATGGATCTCTAGATTGCCTTTCTAACCAAAGGTTTGAGCTATGTTTTTTGCCGTAATAACGTTTGATTATCACAAAAACTCTAAAATGATGCATTACACGTGCATTTGTTTATTATTTACATTGGAAATCCCCCTTCATTCGGAATAAAAGGTTACTAAGTTAAAACTGTTGGTCCCGGTACAATCATAAATAAGCAAAAGATACGGTACAAAACGTTATCAAGTTTTGTCCGATTATGTACTATAGTCAAGAATAATATGAAAAAGTATTCTGATTTATTGGAGAGATTTAGAAAAAATACTGTTAAATCAGATAAAGGTAAACTCTTGACTTATTTTTCAATTATTTTTTTTTTGGTACAGAAAAATATCTGGAATTAAAAGAATTTAAAGAGAGACTCAGACAAGCACTATGCAAGATCAGAATAAGTGCACACCCCCTAAAAATAAAGACGGATAGATATACAACAAACTATATAGATAAATCACAAAGATTATGTGAAAATTGCACGTTGGATAAAGTTGAAGACGAGGAACATTTCATTTGTCAATGTCCCCTCAAAAAAACTATCAATATAGTACAGATATGTTTATATGTAACCCATAAAGAATATTTGCCTGTTAATATTATACATAACTGTTATGCTTTTTTACTTATATGTGTATGGCTCTGGTCTGGCTGCGGTTTAAGATCTTAGAATTCAGATGATTATATTCATATTTATATATGATTATCAAAATTATTGTGTCAATTATCAAAATCATTGTAATAAATTACTTTGCTCTTCATGGGCCCTTTAATTGGAATAAAAATATCTTATCTTATCTTATCTTATTTTATCTTATAACATCGTCATTTCTCCAAAATAAATCAACAGATTGAGATAGTGTTGCCAAATTTTGAATGAATAAAAGGAAATGTATAATAGACAGTAACAGAAAGACACAACAACAGCAGCAGCAACAAATCAGTTCTATCGGAACTCGTATGCTCGTCGAATATATGAGCATAATGAAATCAGAGATCTATTTTTTAATTAGATTGAGCAACAAATATTTTATTTGCCTATTTCAATACAAATTATCTAAACCTAATAACATAGATTGTAGGACGCGGTTATTTATTGATTCGATTGGTCAACATTTAATTCTAAAGCAAATAAAACAAGTAACGATAATAATATCATATTATATTAAGCCTATGTTTGTGCAATGACCAATTATCTAATACTATTGAATGGTATTTGAATGTACAGACCAACTGGACAGCTTACTTCTATATTTTTTATTTTCATTTGCAGAATGTGTGGATATATATCAACAAAGTTGTTAACATTCTTGATCTATGGTCTTTTAAAAGTGAATAGTTGTCTCATTGATAATCATAACAAACCTTTTCAATTTTTTTGTCAAAGTTTTTGTCTTCGTCATTCATTATAACAAAAAGATTATTTATCAAAATTTAAAATATTCTGATTGTTTAGTTCAATAGAAGGGAACTTTCTTTCACAAGTTTTACAAGTTTTAAAGAATGTATCTCGTCTTCTTTTTCCTCATGACAAAGTTCACGTTTTCTATTTTCTATTTTGATATTGAATAAGCGTTCCTTGTCTATTTCAAATTTATGAGCTCCAATTCTAAATCTGGTTAAAATTCTTCTCTGAGGGTATGATAATTTCAATATATATCTATCATCAATACCAAGATTTCCAAAATAACAAAAGCATTAGAACTATTTTCCTAATGCTTGTAGTTTAAAGGTTTGGTTGGCTTGCTAAATGTTTACTCAAGCATTGTAATTAATATTGACATCTGCAATCAATAGACAGGCGGGGCTTCAGCTTGTATACATTATACTCTGCATGTCTGCATTATACTTTACATCCAATAACATTTAAATATAATGTATACAAGCTGAAGCCCCGCCTATCTATTGATTGCTGAGATGTCAATCTTAATTACAATGCTTGAGCAAACATTTACACAAACAAATCAAGCAAGCCAACCAAAACTTTAAACTACAGGCATATTGGGACACACTGGAACAAAGAAAAATCATGGCAGATGCCACCCTCATGTACAAAGTAGTTCACCAAGTAATAGCTATACCAGTACTATACATTCTAATACCAGCTACTGTAATAAGATCTAGAAACAGCCATAGTTGAAAATTCTTGCCATGCCACTGCAGAATCAACAGATACCAACATGCATTTTCCCTAGAACAGTTACCGTCTGGAACAGTCAGAATCGGCTGTGCTCGCACCATCATTAGAGGCCTTCAAATCACCCCTCCAAGAGCACCAACCAAGGAGAACCAACATCAATTATAGAGCTTGAACTTTTGTATTGTTTACATACTTGTTATCTTTTTAATCACCAGAGATAAATTTTTATTGGATTGTTTGCGCCCACCAAACTACTCACATGTACACAAGTCCTTGTTATTAGATGTCCAGTATGGATTTTGACGAGTAATGAAGTTGAAGATGAGTTAAGCCCCTTTCAACTGATTTTTATTGTTTGTTCTTAAGCTGTACTGTTACGCCACTGTCACGGGTTTGGGAAAGGGTTTGGCGCCAGCAAACTAGTTTAACCCCGCCATAATCTGTATGTGCCTGTTCCAAGTCAGGAGCCTACAGGTAACTCAGTGGTTGCCGTTTGTTGCTGTTTATCGTATTTGTTTTTCGTTCATTGCATTGTTTTGTACATAAATCAAGTCGTTAGTTTTCACGTTTGAAATGATATACATTTGTCATTCAGTCTGGGCCTTTTATAGCTGACTATGCGGTATGGGTTTTGTCCATTGTTGAAGGCCGTATGGTGACCTATAACTTCTCTGTCATTTGGTCTCTGGTGGAGAACTGTCCCATTGGCAATCATATCACATCTTCGTATTTTTATATTGTTAGTTAAAGAGGAGAAGACACCAAATTGATCAGTCAAAAACGCATGATAAATGGAAGAAAAATAGACAACAATAATTCAAGCCCTCCCCATGGACGACTGTCCCACTAGCGAGGTTAGTGTAGCCATCCATTGATGAACATCCGAAAATAACGACTAATGTATTCGGGTTAATAACAATATTACCAAAAAAAGGAAGCGAATAAAAGACGAACAGCAGTCCTCAAAACATGATTACACATGCAGAAAATTAAAAATTGGTACGGCCGACTCTAAACAAAGATTATTGTAATTGTAACAACCCTCTATAAAGATAATCCTGATAAGACTCGCGTGCCATAGAATATCGTATCAACTAGAAAAAAATTATATTCCATATTCAGGCGCTTCTTGAATGTTCCTACATAAAAATGGAAAGTTAACAATATGAAAATTCACGTGACATCATCTCTTTAATTTTGTCAGAAACTATATGGTTCTCTACCGATCCCAATAGCCAATTTCTAGATTTAAGTCAATATATATGAAAAAGACTTAATCTGTTTTATCCTTTATTACAAGTTTGCCAAAAATGAATAAAGAAGTAATTCGGCAAGACGAGAAGCACAGTTGGTTCTCATGAGAAATACCGACTGTCTATTGAAAAATATGTTGACCATACGTTCTACATATGTTTTCAATACGACAATAAATAAGAAGAAAGAACACATATAACAGACGTCTGATAGTTAATCGTTTCTCTTTGATTTATCGAGTTAAGCACCCTCGTAGAAAATTTTGAATAATCATAGAATAAGAATAAGGATAGCTTTATTTGTCAATCTCGACGACCATGAAGAGAAGAATAATTTATACAAATTATGATATATACATATGATTAGTATTGATTTTATTGATTATAGTGATGAAAAAACCAAAAACAAAAAACAAAAAAAAACCAGTTATCATAGTCTATAAAAGACTTGTAATCATGTACAATGTCAAGTGTCAGTGACCCCAACTTTTTTTATACGTATGCACAACCCAGTCTTCTTTGTAATGTTATTATATACTTAATGATTTATTATATATCTAATAAACACATACATTATAATGATTTTAAGGTATCTGACAACTCATTTCAACTGGTCTGGAGTCAGAATAGTTTTTTCTCACATTCTAAATCAAAAAATAGATTATGTATTTTCTAATGAACATATTTGTCTCCACATGACATAAACCAAATAAATTTTGACTTCAAATCAAGTTTTTTTAAGTTCTAAAATTATTTCTTTTCTTTTGTATTCTAAAATTGGGCAGTGTAATAAAAAATGTATCTCATCCTCTACATCTCTTTAAAATTTACATAATTGACATAATCTCTCTTGCACCTGAAGCCCCTTATAGCATCCAATTTCTATTTCTAACTTATGGGCACTAATTCTGAATTTCGTTTACAATTGTCTTTGATTAAAATTTTCACATAAAAGATAACTCTCAAATGTTCCTGTGAATATACTTTTAAATAACCTATATATGTTCTCAATTTGTTTCCATGCTGCTGATTTACTCTATCATCAAATATATAGGTTTCCAATATTTTATTGTACTTCAACTTGTGCTTATTAAAAAGAAAAGGTTTTAATTTATTCTTTAAGGTTAAAATGTGATTGAAATCAACATCTAAATAAATTGCCAAACTATCAATACATCCAAACCAACATTTTTTTATTCTGAGTTAAAAGGGATTGAGATAATGCGAGTGCTTCAGATCGTAAGGAGTTATTAGATTTATGTATATGTATATAATACTTGAACATACTGACTATTACTTCTAGAAATAAGGGATATCTCCCAAGTTCTGCCATAACAGCTAAATTTGTTGCCCTTTTATTTACTCCCAAGGAGGATTTACAAAATTTAAAATGTAGTTTTTCTGCACTTAATTCTTTACATAACTTATTTAAGTAGTTATCCCCTCCAGCTGCTAGTTTGTTAGACTGAAAACGCGGCACCCCACACCTCACTACCATATAAAAAAACTGGCTTAACTGTATGATCAAAAACATGGAATAATGTTTTAAGTTTAGGAAGGTTTCCACTAAAACATTTTTTTAAATTTGAATGATGCATTTAAGCCCCGGTTATACAAATCTTGTTTAGCATTTGTAAAACTGCCATTTATAGTGAATACCAGTCCTAAATAGTATATTGTTTTGCTCTCTCAATAGCCGGAATATTATTAAATGTAAACAAAGTATAATTTAACCTACCAGTTTTATTAAAAAACAAGCGATTTAGTCTTTTTTAACATTTAGTTCTAAACCCCACTTGTTACAATAACTATATAGAGTCTATCTAAACAATGACATTTCTGTAACACTGTAGCAGTTTCTGATAGTAAAACAACATCATCTGCATACAAGAGACAATTTAAATCAAGGGTATTTGGTTTTACTGGTTTACAGTTATCGTCAAAAATATTTTGGAGCTCATTTATAAATAATTTAAACATATTAGGGCTTAAGTTATCACCTTGACGAACGCCAATATTTGAAGAAAAGGAGTTTGTTACAGAATCATTATTAACCTTTACACATAGTTCTGTTTTACTATACATGCTTTTAATGCTATTATAAAAAAGATCATTTATGCCATTTTTTCTTAGTTCATAAAAAAGGCTTTCAAGACGCACAGTATCAAAAGCCCGTCATAAATCATAAATTAAATTATGATCGGAGTTACAAGAATTAATTTAGAGTTACCGGAAAATAAATTGTTCCGAAAGGCTATAAAAAATCTACTCATTCAGGCTATAAAACATCTACCTGATAAAAAACAAATTTAGTTTGTATTTCTCATAAAGCATAGAATAAGAAACTGGCTATCTCCACTGTCATATGTGGTTTGTTCATTAAAAAAACAATAAGCATCGTAACAAAGTCAGCTTTGACATGACCCCCTTTTTCATACTCTTCTTCTTCTTCCAAGTAAGGAACCGAATTCATATTGAATGTGTATGGTCCCGCGAAAACTTAGCGCAGTGCCGGGCAAGGCAGCAAATCTTCTCAAAGTTATTTACATTTAAAACGTTCGCCAATTTACAATTAAAATTATATACACGCTATGCTGTTTACTTCCTTCCAGAGCCTGCTTTCACAGGTCAGGAATAACCACCAATTGGTGGATTATACCTCAATTGACGTATAATCCACCAATTGACATATATTGGTATAGACCAATTGACGTACAATGCAAGTTTTTTGTTATAAAATGCTAGTGTGAGATAGGAGCATCATTTTGCAACTTACAACCTATTTTATGACCATTATTGAGTCCTCCGAAAGTTTCAGTTTTGTCAAAGCCTGCTGCATCTCTTGAGAATGCATGTGTACAACAATTCTTTTGTTGAAACATCTGTACTATTGACCATGATTGACTCTTAATAATGAAAGTCAAGTATTAACAAAGAGCTCCATTCACCTGTGGAGTTGTACTCATAATCACATGACTACAGACAGTATTGATGTCCATTGACAGGTGATTAGTGGTAAATTTGCCAATCAAGAATTGACAAGATAACAATAGAAGAAACTGCAAATACAATTATTGATTAAATGCAATATGTTATGTCACTTTACTAAACTAGGAATGTTTGACATGTTTTCTTACAATAATATGGTTTTAAGAAAACAATGCTCCATTTTGGTTGAATAATTTGCTTTGAAAAACAAAGAATTATACGTCAATTGGTCTATACCATTATATGTCAATTGGTGGATTATACGTCAATTGAGGTATAATCCACCAATTGGTGGTTATTCCTGACCTGTTTCAGAGCAGCTCTGAATCCCTCTATCGAGTCAGCTGATGTTGTTTTAGCTGGAAGTTGATTCCAATCCCTGATGGTCTTTGGGAAGAATGACTGTCCATAGGTGTCAGTTTTTGTTCTTTCTTGGTAAAAGCGGCCTATACCTCTGGTCCGGCTGTCGTTGGGTATTAGATATTGTTGTCTATCTATATCGATTAGCCCGTGCTGGATTTTAAATACACCTTATCGCTATTTGTCCGCCATTACTGGACATCACACAAGTTCCCGTAAAATTTTGACGTCATAATAGAAAATGTCTGACGCCACAATAGAAAAGTGATTGTTGTATGACGTCAAAAGTTCGAGCGGGACAGATTCTCGGGTCAAGCGGGAATAGCGATAAGGTGTATAGCATACATAGTCTGTTGGTTTTCCTACGTTCTTCCAGGCTTTCCCACTGTAATTGTTTAACCATGTGTGTTACACAGTCAGGTGTTCGGTCTGAGTAGTTATTATGAACAAATCTTGCTGCTCTTTTTTGAACTTGTTCTAATGATTTGATCTTTTTTTGGCTCGATGGATCCCAAGCTGTGCAGGCATATTCCACTGAAGGTCTTACCATGGCAGTATATGCTGCTGCTTTTACTGGTTTTGCACAGTCTCAGATTTTTTCGGATAAATCCCAATGTTTTATTTCCTTTGCCTACAATATTATCAATGTGTCTATCCCAGGATAGGTTGTTGCTGATAGTTACGCCTAAGTATTTGCTTGCATCAACATTGTCTAGTGTATGTCCGTGGAGTTTATATGATGTATCTCTCACTTCTTTGTTTTTCTGTGTTATTCTGATAACTATGCATTTTTTGGCGTTAAAACTCATTTGCCATTTATTCTCCCATTCTTCCAATGATGTTAAGTCTTTTTGCAAAAGGTCGCTGTCTGCCTGGTTGTTTATTGTTCGAAAAAGTAGGCTATCGTCTGCAAAAAATTTGTTTCAGATGACGTTGATGTTTCTGGCATGTCATTTATGTAGGTCAGAAACAATAGAGGTCCAAGAACTGTGCCTTGGGGGACGCCTGATAGTGCTGGGACTTGGAGAGGAGACAGCTCCTTCTAATATTATGCTTTGCATTCTGTTTTCAAGGAATGATTGAATCCATTTTGTAGCTTTAGGGTTTACTCCATAAAATTCTAGTTTGTGTAAAAGGTGGTGGTGCGGAACTTTGTCAAATGCCTGTACAAAGTCCAGAAGGATGATGTCAACTTGGTATTCTTTTTCCAGTTTTTTTGCAATGTCGTTGATTGTTATTATAAGTTGTGATTCGCATGATCGTTTTTTGCGAAATCCATGCTGTGCGTTGGTAAGTATATAGTGTTTGTCAAAATGGTCCATAATACTGCTGTGGACTATGTGTTCCAAGACCTTACATGTGATGGAAGTTAATGATACAGGTCTATAGTTGGATGCTAAATGTCTTTCATCTTTCTTGAATAGGGGAACCACGTTAGCATCTCTGCAATCTTGTGGGATTTCTCCGGTGTTAAGGGATGTTTGGTACAGATCTGTTAGAAAAGGAGCGAGTTGGTCTGCTGCTGTTTTCAGGATGAAGGATGGAATTGAGTCTGGACCAGTAGCTTTGTATGGTTTAAGGTTTTTGAGTAGTTTGTGTACTCTCTTAGTGCTGATTTTGATATCATCCATGGTGGAATATAGGAACTTTCCTTTGTTAGGAAAGTTATTTAGGTTTTCCTTTGTGAATACTGACTGGAATTGATCATTGAGTATCTCAGCCTTGCTTTTATTGTCACTTTGAAGAAATCCCAATTTGTTCTTTAATGGTGCTACACCTGTCCATTCTTGACCTTTGCTCTTTATATATGACCAAAATTTCTTTGAGTTGTCTTTATAATTGGTGCTTACTTCTTCCATATATTTTTTGTTGGCTTTTCCTATTCTGATACTATAATTTTCAGCTTTTTTTCCCATCATATGTTGCTTTCTTGTACTTAAAGTACAATAATTTTCAATGAGTCATCCCTCACCTGTAATTTTGCATGTTGTTTCACAGGCGCTTTGGATATAGACCCCCTTTTAATAACATTTTTGTCGAGCCTTCGACTTTTGTCGAAAAAGCGAGACATAGCGATCCTACATTCCGTCGGCGTCGTCGTCGTCGGCGGCGTCCACAAATATTCACTCTGTGGTTAAAGTTTTTGAAATTTTAATAACTTTCTTAAACTATCCTGGATTTCTACCAAACTTGGACAGAAGCTTGTTTATGATCATAAGATTATATTCAAAAGTAAATTTTGTAAAAAAAAAAATCCATTTTTTCCGTATTTTACTTATAAATGGACTTAGTTTTTCTGCCAGGAAACATTACATTCACTCTGTGGTTAAAGTTTTTGAAATTTTAATAACTTTCTTAAACTATACTGGATTTCTACCAAACTTGGAAAGAAGCTTGTTTATGATCATAAGATAGTATCCAGAAGTAAATTTTGTAAAAAAAAAAATCCATTTTTTCCGTATTTTACTTATAAATGGACTTAGTTTTTCTGCCAGTTAACATTACATTCACTCTGTGGTTAAAGTTTTTAAAATTTTAACAACTTTCTTAAACTATCCTGGATTTGTACCACACTTGGACAGAAGCTTGTTTATGATCAAAAGCTAGTATTTAGAAGGAAATTTTGATAAAATTTTGTTCCATTTTTTCTGTATTTTACTTATAAATGGACTTAGCTTTTCTTCCAGTTAACTTTACATACAGTCTGCAATTAAAGTTTTAAAAACATTTATTAGATTCAAAAACCATCGTGGATTTTTACCAAACTTGGACAGAAGCTACTTACAATCAAAAGATAGTATAGAGAGGAATATTTTTATTAATTTTTTTCCTCATTTTTGTTGAGCCTGCGATTAACAGGAAAAGTAGGCGAGACACTGGGTTCCGTGGAACCCTTACGAATTTTTATATATATATAGTTTTTTCTAAATAAATATATTTTTTGGTGTGTTAATTTATTTATTAATTATTTTCTAATATTATAACATATTTCAATCATTTAATGTGTTCTTGCTCTAGTCGGTATGATATTACAATAACAGTAGTTTACATATAATGGCCCTCTATTTTTATTTTCCAGAAGGCAGGCAAGATCATCTGCTGTCTCCGTACATTTCATGGAACATATTTCTATTAAATCATACAAATTAGGACATGTGTCTATTCAAAATCATTTTAAATGACTTACCTTTTTGTTTCTGTTGGTGATCAGCTATCCAGGAATTTCAAATTTTTAAGTTTTGGTAGCTTTAATTTTGTCAATAGATATAAGAAGATGTGGTATGAGTGCCAATGGGACAACTCTCCATCCAAGTCAAAATTTATAAAAGTAAACCATTATAGGTCAAAGTACGGTCTTCAACACGGAGCCTTGGCTCACACCGAACAGCAAGCTATAAAGGGCCCCAAAATTACTAGTGTAAAACCATTCAAACGGGAAAACCAACTGTCTAATCTATATAAAAAATGAGAAACGAGAAACACTTATGAACCGCATCAACAAACAACAACTACTGAACATCAGATTCCTGACTTAGGACAGGTGCAAACAAATGCAGCGGGTTTAAACGTTTTAATGGTACCAAACCTTCACCCTTGTCTGAAACAATAGTGTAACATCACAACATAGAATTACACACTATAAAATATCAATTGAAATGGCTTAACTCAAAAGACATATTAACACCAGTGAACATACACTGAACAAAAAAATTTGATCTAAATACAAAATAAATAAACTTAGGGAAAAATAATAAAAGTAACATGTTATACCGCTGTGAAATGTTAAACAATATAAGAAAAACAATATGCTAGAACAAAAATATCAGCCATTTGCAATTATTTAAATACAGGTAAATGAAAATAATTTTGTTAGGTATACGTGTACAGTTAAAATAGAGAAAGGAAATATTTTTACAAAATAAATAATTTGGATGTTCATAGTACGAAAAAGTGAAAATTTATATTAATACCAAACACTTATCAAAGCTGGTATATAGACCAGATATAACCCTGAACAACATTAAATAACAGAAAAGCATTACAATTAGTATCAACAGGTCAAATAAACAAGAATGTAGGATTTTAGAGTACTCGCAGTTACTGACAGCTAGTTAAAAGCCAAAAACAATTAATAATAAAAAATCATGCATCAGAGACAAAGTTCATTACTGACGACTCCAAAAGCAATGCATGAATCATGAAGTCCAATAAGTTGGAAAGGCTTTCCAATAGTTTACAGTTACCATTTTTTTTTTTTAAAATACCGGTAACCTTTCGAACTTCTGGACTTCATGATTGTATAGTGATTCAGATGCTTAGGAGCCTCTAGTTCCCTCCCCTTTGCTTAAAAGTTTTTTTTTCATAGGCATATTTATCAATATTGCTTATATCTCCATGGATATGCTTTTTGGAATGAAAGGTTTCAAAGGTAGATTTGGCATAGATTATGCCACATCTGCATGACCTATTAATGGCACTTTAAAATAAATATTGGTGATAAAATGTTAAAAAATGTATGAACTTTTACAAAAAGTTCAATCAGATACAGATATCCAAATTGTTAGCTCAAGAATAGCAGATTCCAAACCAAACTACATTAAATATTTAAAATATTTGAAAACTAGCCAAACTAGCACTAGAATATTCATAATTTAAGGAAAAACTAATGAGCATAGCCATGATAGCTGTCTATTTATTAGAAATTACATTTTTTTTAGTCTACCCTGAGTGTTGATGGTAATGCCTGATTTGACCTGACCAGAAATCTAAAATGATGCGAGGCGAGCATGCTAACCACAACACTATCACATTTAATGTAGTTCTGACTCCGATCATTGCATTTTAGCTTGTAGACACCATCACACTTTATCATAACAATCAAAGTCATCATCATAGTTAGACCATTGCACTTTGGCATAGTTATCAACAAGTTAGCATCACAATGCCACACCATTGCACTTCAGTATATTAACCAACGCACTTCATCGTGGACCATCGCACTTCAGCGTGACCATCACAATTTGGAATACCATTGCTGTTCAGAATCCTACATATATACATTTTGTATTTTGAGTACAATAAGATATAAACAATTTCCAGAGTTCTGCATTAATTATTTTATTTTATAAAAAAATGTGGTTCTTTAACCATGTTTACTCAATATATTTGTACCAAACTAAATAGCACAATGAAATATAAATATCTTTGACATTGATATTTCAGGTTGTAGTTTGAAATGGATTTCATCAGGACAGTTTCCATGATCTGTATGAGGAGAAAACCTATTTTTGTGAATCGGACATCAGTTATAAGATGTTTTTGTCAAAAAGGTAAACATATATCATAATAGTAGTAATATAATTATAGTCAGATAAAACTGAATGACCAGTTCAGAAACTTTTATCCTCATAAATTGCTGTACACAGACTCATGGTCCTCATAAATGATGTACGGACTTATTAAAACATCTTAATCCTTGATGTACTGATAATGCAAACCATAATTGAATTCGTTTTTTGAAATAATATTGCAATGCAATGTACCTAACAGTCCTTGTAAACATATGGCAAGGTAAAACACTATTGACAGTTCTTAACACTGCCTATTATCTACATGTAGCATTGACAGTTCTTAACACTTCCTATTATCTACATGTAGCATTGACAGTTCTTAACACTGCCTATTATATACATGTAGCATTGACAGTTCTTAACACTGCTTATTATCTACATGTAGCATTGACAGTTCTTAACACTGCCTATTATATACATGTAGCATTGACAGTTCTTAACACTGCCTATTATATACATGTAGCATTGACAGTTCTTAACACTGCCTATTATATACATGTAGCATTGACAGTTCTTAACACTGCCTATTATATACATGTAGCTAGATAAAGGCTGTAAAATTCAAATGTCAGTATTAAGAAGAATAAACACATAAAAGGATTGTTTAATATAATGCCCTGTGGTGGAAGAGTGCTTTGTTCTCTTTACATAAAAATCTTGCAATCACTCTTTGATTTGCTCATCCTCAATCTGTTGCAAAGTAAATTTCTGCCACCACCAGTACCAAACTAACCCTCTATTTAACATGTTTAAGTTGTCTGATCTTCTATCCTTTTATTCTGATGCAGTAGATACATGTATAATATACAGATAATAACAAAATGTAATTAAAGAGATGTATGATTAGACATGTATATAGCTAATCATTTTTAGCTTCAGAGAATAGTTCAACAAAGATTGACAAACCTTACGAGTCAGCTGTTGATAGATTATACAAAAAACTGATGGGGAAAGTTCCACAGACAGGTAATCTGTTGTATGTTAAGTTGTATGGAAAAATAAATGTATTTGGGGAATGTGTCAATGAGACAGCAAACCATTAACACAAATAAAAAAAAAATGAAGAGGTCAAAACAGTCACTCATCGACAGGTGTCAATACAATATGTCTGGCTCTTATTACCCCCAAGTAAAAGATCAAAATAAATTGAAGAGATGATCAAGGATTTGCCATCTAAACCAGATTCTCCAAATAACAAAAAAACTAATAAGATATGACTTAAGACATCCACTGATGAAGTTCCAGGCTTGGATCAGGCACATGACTATTTAGCAGATTTAAAATAGGTTTTATATATCTCAGTCCTCTGCTTGTTTCTTAATCTCAATCAGTGGACTTACAAAAGGTACATAAAACAACATTTAACTCTATAATGATGCTATGATTGGATATTGAATTAATAACACATAGAAAATATGAAACCATTAAAAAAAAAGTAGCTGTTTTTGCAGTTACTGTTTCAGTAAGTTTTTACATTATGTCATATTCAATATACCCAGCATGGATTTAAAATGTTTAGCTACTTTCAAAATTGACTTTACTTTCGTGGAGTCCATTCTTTTATATAAGACTGCTGTGTATTTAGATATTTTGAGTATGGGCCTTATTTTTGAATTGGTCCACATTAAGGTCCAAAGGGTCCAAAATTAAACTTTTATTTGATTTCATCAAAAATTGAAGTATTGGTGTTCTTTGATATGCTGAATCAAAGCGTGTATTTAGATTTTTGATTTTGGGACTGGTTTTCAAATTGGTCCACATTAAGGTCCAAAGGGTCCAAAATTAAACTTTTATTTGATTTCATCAAAAATTGAAGTATTGGTGTTCTTTGATATGCTGAATCAAAGCGTGTATTTAGATTTTTGATTTTGGGACTGGTTTTCAAATTGGTCCACATTAAGGTCCAAAGGGTCCAAAATTAAATTATGTTTGATTTTTAAATAAAATGAATTCTTGGGGTTCTTTGCTATGCTGAATCAAAACCTGTATTAAAGTTTTTTGATTTTGGGATCGGTTTTCAAATTGGTCCATATTGTCCAAAATTAAAGTTAGTTTGATTTTAGCAAAAAATGAATTACAGGAATTCTTTGATATGCTGAATCTAAGCATGTATTTAGATTTTTTTATTTTGGGCCCTGTTTTCAAGTTTGTCTAAAATTGGGTCCAAAATTTTCATCATAAATTGAATTCTTGGTGTACTTGGATATGCTGAATCTTACTGTGTATTTCAATTGATATTTTATAGTGTGTCTTTCTATGTTGTGATGTTACACTATTATTTCATGTTAGGGTGAAGGTTGGCGCCTGTTAAAACGTTTAAACCCGCTGCATTTGTTTGCACCTGTTGTTCAGTGGTTGTCGTTTGTTGATGTGGTTCATAAGTGTTTCTTGTTTCTCGTTTTTTATATAGATTAGACTGTTAGTTTTCCTGTTTGAATGGTTTTACACTAGTCATTTTTTGGGCCCTTTATAGCTTGTTGTTCGTTGTGAGCCAAGGCTCCGTGATGAAGGCAGTACTTTGACCTATTATGGTTTACTTTTACAAATTGTGACTTGGATGGAGAGTTGTCTCATTGGCACTCATACCACATCTTCTTATATCTATTTAGATTTTGGATATTGGACCATAATAGGTAAAAGTCCAATTTCAAAATTTTCAGTTCTTTGACCACATTCATTCTGTGTCAGAAACCTATGCTGTGTCAAATATTTAATCACAATCCAAATTCAGAGCTGTATCAAGCTTGAATGTAGTGTCCATACTTGCCCAAACTGTTCAGGGTTAGACCTCTACAGTCGTATCAAGCTGCGCCCAGCAGAGCATTTTATTTAATAGAAATATGGAAAAATTTGTGAATTAAATCTACTATTTGGTTTTGAATCGATAAATTCTTAGACAACAATAAATAAAACTTTTGCTTCAATACAAACACAAGTGGATAGTGGGGGCTGGTTTTAATAAGACTGTCAATAATAAAGATTATTAAATACTTTTCTGTTTATTGGAATAGCTAACATGGAGTATGATGCAGCCTTTTTTTTTTATCCAAATAGACAGAAAGGAAAGAAATCTGCTAAAGATTTTTTTTCAATAGTAAAAGAATTAGGAAAACTTATAGTATAAGGCTAATCTTAGGCTTACCTCTTTTTTTTCAAGTGGTAGTGGTTATAACATCATAAAATATATCATATATTACAATTGATGACAAATAAAAAAAAAACATTTTCATATTACATTGGGATAGGCATATCATGGATTAGAGATGCAACTGTTGAATCTCAAAATTTATTTTTTTCATTTTATGTTTTTTTGGGTGGGGGAGGGAAAGCACAATTATATGTTTATGTCGCAATTTTTTTTTTTTACTTATTCCACTTTTCTTCATGTCTTACAGTTGTAGTAGTAACAACAGCAGAATATGATATCCTGAAGAACAGATGGTTAAACAAAGGAATAACCTGTACCTCCTTCACAAATGTCTCTTACCATCCTCCTATTGTATCATTCTGTGTAAATCATCCAAGGTAAAGTTAACCTTACAATCCTCCTATTGTATCATTCTGTGTCAATCATCCAAGGTAATTCAATTGTGAATTTCCATTCATAAAATAAGTATAAACTTTACTGAAACTAAAGCTTCATATACAACTTAGAAAACGTTTTGTTACAGAACTTCAACAATGTTTTGTTATAAAACTTAGACTATGTTTTATTAAGGTTTTTTTTTTTTTTTTTTTTTTTTCTGGGGCCTTGGTGGCCGAGTGGTCTAAGTCGTTACTACTGTTATCACTAGCCAGTCAACACTGGGGTTGTGAGTTCGAACCCCGCTCGTGCGGGTGCAATGGACTCCAATCTTAATTGACTAGGATTGTCAGTTTTCCTATCTAAGGTCGGTGGTTTTCTCCGGGCACTCCGGCTTCCTCCACCAATAAAAACTGGCCGCAGCGGTGCTTAAAAGTGGCGTTAAAACACCAAAAAATCAAATCAAAAATCAAATTACGGTTTTTTCTAGTTAGGGATCCTAAAATTTATATATATTGCTTTCCAACATTTTAGTCCTGATTGCATATGTTGAAGGTAATTTTAGAAGCGTGTTTTGTTCATACTTAATCTTGTGTATATTTATTTTCTACATATATAAGATCAGAGAGGCTTTACTGCATTGTCTATGATATTTACCATTTTTCAGTAAAATGCATGATCTACTTTTGAGGACACAGCACTTTGCCATCCATGTGTTGGGAAAAGATCAGGTAATATTTCAGATATTTAAATAAAGAGATGTTGTTAGATAGCCAATGAGACAACTATCCACCAGAGTTTAATGACGTGGATATAAGCAATTAAAGGTCACCATATGGCCTTCAAAAATGAGAAAAACCCATACCGTATAGTCAGCCATAAAAGACCTCAACATGAAAGATGTGAAACTATTCAAATGAGAAAACTAACAGCCTAATTTATTACAATACAATTTACGAAAAACAAATATGACAGACATGAAACAACGAAAAGCACTGAACTACAGGCTCCTGACTTGGGATAGGCACATGCAGAATATGGCGGGTTAACATGTTTGGGATCACTCAACCCTTCCCGTAACCTAGGACAGTGGCCATGGTGTAACAGCAAAACATAAGAACAAACTGTAAATATAGTTGCAAATGGCTAAACTCAAAAGATTGGTACAAAGCACAAAAACCCTAACATTAAAACAATAGACACTAAGGTAATATTGCAGACATTATTTTTATTCTAATCTTTGTTTTTTACTACTACAGTTTTCTTAGAAAAAAAAATAGTTTTATGTCAGAAGACTTTTTTACCTAAGTTAAGATAATAAAATAATGCAGTACATACTTTAAATTACATAACCACAGATACTTAATGTATATGAATAAGACAGGGCTAGATTTTTAGAAGTACCAGGTAGTGATTTTCAAATAGAAAAAAACAGATCATTCCATGCTTGCAGTGAAAAAAACAGAGAAATATTTAGTCATGATAGTTTTTACCAGTTGTATCTGTAATTTAAAAATGATTCTGTTCATATATGTAACATGTAAAAGATAGATTATTTTTTAGTGTCCTAACAAACCATTGTTTTAAAATGTTTAGCTCCATAAACTGTTTTTTTTTTAATTTTTTTGTAAAAGATTCAAATCATGCTAACACTTACAGGTTGCATATAGTTTAGAATTTGCCAAGCATGTAAATGATGATATAGATCAATTTGCCAGAGTACCACACACACAGGGACATGAGGTATTATATTGTTGTTTGTAAGCATATAATTAGGGTTAAAAAAAATGTATTATAAACATGTAAGGATCATATTTATGTCCAGCCTCAAATCTTTGTCCTATGATGTCATCAAAATCAAATCTGTGGCCCTTAGCTTATTCAAATCTGTGTTCTTTTTAGAAGGTTGGCTCAGTTCAATCAGACGTCACTGAACTCAAATCTGTGACCGTTAAATTTATTTGACCATCAAGGCTTTGTTACTAATTTAACGAACATAAAAATATATTGTAATGACAATGTTGAAATCTGGCAAAAGTGGTTATTGAGATCATTGTTCATTATTATTGCCTCCTCTCATCTAACAATTTACATGAAATTAGTAACTATAAAATTATACTTATTATAGGCCATGCAATTAACACACAATAGAGATCGAAAACTGACATAAAACATTTGCTTACTCACTGCGTAGTTTTCCAGATATTTTTATTATGTCTATTTAACAGATTATTTAAACCCACTGAGCTGCTTTTTTTAAAAAGAAGTACCTGCACATATTTGAATGAATGAATGAACTATCTAGGAGAGTAAAAATTACTCCCTAAAAAATTCATATGGTATACCACAGACACAAAGCGCATGTTCACAAGAAAAATTAGCAGTTTAAAGGAAAGAATTTGCAATTAAACGTTCAATCAGATTATTTGTGAAAAAACAAACAAAAAGCTTTTCCTATTCATTGAGCATAAGTAAACAAAATTTTAGGTCATAATCAATATGGATTCTGACGGCAGCTGTACATCCGTTTGATTAGGGGAAGGTGTTCATCATTTTATGCAAACGTCGTTTTTAGCATTGATACATTTATTTTTGCAAGATTACTCAGATATAATTCTGAAAACTTACTGTGCTGATGATTAAATACATAAAATGTGTATGAATCATTGAGATGGACACTGTTAAGCAAACAAGTAGCACACACCCCATCTTTACATGCATCTCAAGAAAATCACAAAATGGCAAAAACGTGTCCACGGCAAGTATTGGCTACCCACTCTTTACATAATGTTTTACCTTGCACATTTTTATTTCTGCTTTCACTATTAATCAGCTTACCATTTTCCGAATTTTAGGAAAGCAATTTCTTTGATTTAAAAAAAAAAATAGATAAGGTTTATGCACCCTTTATTTTTATAGATGTTTACTATTAATGTAATGTTCTTCAAATTTGTGTCCATACTCAATTTAGTGCTTTTTGACACAGATTTGAGAAAAGAAAGGACATGGATTTGTGACATCTATGACTCAATATGGATTTGATAAAGGAACACAGATTTGAAGCTGAACATAGATTTTACTCTTACATACAAGATTATCATCTTGTGTTACAGGGTATTTATGAGATTTCAGATTTACTTTGAAATATGTTTCTACTATGCATTTTAACCGTTGTATATATTCCTATTGAGACCATGTTAAGAAACAAACAATAAGATATGCCTACTTGTGTTTTGGACCGTGTTAAGGGTATCCCAAAACTGGCCGTATTCAGTATACTCTAAAAATAGAATGCAATGATGAATTTCAAAAGACTTTGGCTGATGATGAATGGACTCCTACCCATTCAATTGTAAAAAAAAAAGAAAATTTAAACGAGATGAAAATTTTGGGTTACCAAGGACTACCCCCTTAAAACAACACGAAAAACCTCCAAAAATATGTACAATACAAATGCACAATAAAAATGAATTCACCAACATGTGTTGTATATTAACAGGGAATCCCCATTATAGCTGGATGTTCTGCTGTGATGCAGTGTAGAGTACATTCAGTTCACACTGTTGGAGATCACCATGTTTGGTATGGCAGTGTATTTGATGCGGTTGTTTCAGATGATGCTCCAGATACACTTTTATACTACTTTAAGTGAGTTTAATTTTATTCAGTTATTAATTTTTATTACATTTTATGAAGTTTTAAAAGGTAGTTGCCTTTATTACTAACGTGAGATGACATATTTGTTACCTGGGTCAAGAGGTCATCATGTGAAATCAGTTGAGGTCGATTTTTCTTTTGCTGTATTAAATATCTTATGTCTTTTAGTTAAATAAATTTAGAAAAAACTGTTATGAAAACCACAGTGGTTTTTTTGAAGTTTTTAAAACATGTTGTAAAGATGTATTTTTCATTATGAGACATTAACCTATTGATTATCTAAATAAGGTGGAAATCACAATGGACCTTTTTTATGCCCCAGCTGTAGCGGAGGGGGCATTAAGTTTTACCCTTGTCCTTCTGTATGTCCGTCTGTCCGTACGTACGTCCCAAAATTGGTTTCCGGCTTCTAACTTTAGTTTGCTTCAACCAAATGTAAATGAAACTTATACACTATGCTCATTATCACAAAACACAGATCCAGTTTGATTTTTGGTGGCGCCACTTTTACCGTTCTAGAGTTATGCCCCTTTACAAATGGAAACATTGCTGAAATTTTCGTTTCCGTTCTCTAACTTTAGTTTGCCTCAGCCAAATGTTATGAAACGTATGCACAATGCTAATTACCACAAAACACAGATCAAGTTTGAATTTTGGGGGCGTCACTTTTACCGTTCTAGAGATATGCCCCTTTACAAATGGAAAAATTGCTGAATTTTTCGTTTCCGTTCTCTAACTTTAGTTTGCCTCAGCCAAATGTTATGAAACGTATGCACAATGCTAATTACCACAAAACACAGATCAAGTTCGAATTTTGGGGGTGTCACTTTTACCGTTCTAGAGTTATGCCCCTTTATAAATGGAAAAATTGCTGAATTTTTCGTTTCCGTTCTCTAACTTAAGTTTGCCTTAACTAAATGTTATGAAACATATACACAATGCTTATTTCCACAAAACTCAGATCAAGTACAACTTTAGGTAGCGTCACTTTTACAGTTCTTGAGTTTGTTACACTATATTTCAGATCATTTAGATCAGTTGGTGATGAAATATTTATAAAAGCTTTTGAGGATGCCACATTACCTTATGAAGACTGGACACATGAAGCTCATTTAAGAATGGCCTGGACTTATATTACAGAATATGGGAAAGAGAAGGCTACTCCTTTTATAAGGTGAATTAAATACAATTGCAAATATTTATAATTGTTTGACTGCACAAATGTTTTAACAAGGAGGTTATATGAGAAGGAGAGTGAACACTCTGCTTGATATAAAATTAGCATCCCCAGGAAAGCAATTCGATCAGAGGAAAATGATAAAAATATAAAGAAACCGACATGTTTATCACCCACTTGATATGGTCCTCTGATGTACCAGGCTGTTACCGAGAACAGTCCATGTGATTAGGAGAATCGCTAATGTCACGTGATTGTAATCGGTGACTGGGTCATTACAATACAGGTGTAATTATTGTAACAAATTAGTTTGAATGTATTTATATTGTGCAATAACATTTGACGCGAAATTCGATAATATATCGTCTAACTACAGCAAAAAACGACCAAGAAATGACAAAGTTATGTGGGTTTAAAGAAATTTAAGAATACAATTTCTATTGAACTCCACCTTGCTTTAAACAAAGATTTTCTCTTCACCTGTATGACGCTGCCCATGATAATTGGTAGGTAATATCATAGAAGATAGAGGAATATGTGAGATACTTTCGTTACAGTGACCGGTTGCGACCGGAGCGAATATTTGTAATTGAAACGGAGAGAAATTTATCGAGAGCCAGCGAAAAGTTTGTTTCTCGTGGCGTTAGGCTGTAGATATAGGCATAGGCGCTTAGATTTTCACTTCCCATGTTGGCTCCTAGAAATGGGAAATGGTAGGTTATATCCTCGAAAGGAATATGTGAGGTACATTTGTTAAAGTCACCATTCCGGGAGCGATCTTTTTTATTGAAACAGAGGAATCTGTCCGAGAACCACCAAAAAGTCTTTCTCCGGGTGGAATGCTGTTAGACATCTTGACATGGCAGGTTTTTTTTTCGTTAAATCATTTCTGTGCAAAATTATATGTGTTTGCATCGGTTCATCTTATTTTTCAATATTTTAATGTTGTTCCCTTTAAATTGATGGGCTCTCACCGAAAGCAAAGGAACAAAAACAAATAATAAGAAAAATAAAGAAATATGATAATTTTTATTTTTGAAAATTCTCAATGTGACCACGCCAAATCAATACTTGTTATAAACTGAGTTTAATTAAGATTTTGTTGAAAACAGTACTTCATTGGCTTGATAAAACGTAAAATGTCGGAAAATTAACACATGCATTTTGTACATTAATACTAGGATTGCCAGGCATGTAGATTAGTACCTCTCTAAATGTGACAATACACATGGTATGTGTAGATTTCTTTTTAATCAATTCTCTTTTCAGGCCATGCACGGTTGTAATATTTATAAAAAAAAATGGAAAATACGTCAATTTGTAAATAAAAATACCACGACACTCACAGGAAAGAGTGTCTATTCTTTTATTTACGGACATTTTTCCTGCACATTTTATAAATATTTTGTTTTAAATTTTAATTTCATGTATATACACCATTTACCAAGCAATTCATGTCGGTTGAGTTTTTCGTCTTGCAGATCCAGAATATTTCTAGATCAAATTCTTTTTCGAGCTCCAACACGTGGGCATCGCTTATAAATAGGTTTATAACACTTTGGGTGTTTCAGTTCTTACTTGGATGTGTAATTAGGACAGAGTCTCCCTCTGCGACCGAATCAATCTCAACTAATCAACACCCACTTACAGAAAAGGCAGTAACATTTTATGTGTAATTATCGTCTTTCTTCCTCTCTCCTTCTCATATAACCTCCTTGGTTTTAACAAATGTTTGAGTAATTGTGTTTTTAAAATTGTAAAGTGTTTTCATTTTAACAATTTTTATGCCCCCGCTGAAGGCAATGGGGGCATTAAGTGTTACCCTTGACCGTCCTTCCATCCTTATGTCCATTTGTCTTTCCATCCGTCCTTCTGTCCCATTTTGTTTCTGCACTCCAACTTGAGTTTTCCTCATCCAAATTTTATGAAACTCATACACAATGCTAAGAACCACAACATGCAGACAGATTTGAATTTATGCAGTGAGTCATTTTCCATTCTAGAGTTATGCCTCCTTCTAACCTGGAAAATTGCTTGAGTGGGGGCATTCGTATCCTCAGACATATTCTTCTTTTATTTAAGGAAAGGAGTGTAAAAATGAAACTTATCTTGAGATATAGAAAAAATAGTATGGTGTCACAATGACATCTGTACTCTTTGAAGCACAATTTTGATAGGCATTATTTGAAGTTATTATGCTTGAGGAAAGGACAAAATATCACATCCCTGATAACATCAGTACCAATTATCAGGTTGTCTGCATAATGATATCGTAAAATATCAACTGCGAGTCACAATATTAACCTTTTTGTCAAGTGAGCTCAGCAAATGAGATAAAAAAGGCTTCAAATTGTGTCGAGCAGCTGGTATTTTACAATATGAATATGCATACAACCAGATAATCGATTTATCGGGTTGTATTTGCGTATTTTGCATGATAGAAACAAGTGTTTTCTTTGATTAATTTTATTAAGAGCTGAGCAGAGTGATCCAGACAGAGGGATGACCGATAATAAATTTTATATATATTCCATTGAAAATGAATGCTTATCTGGACATAATCAGATCTCTTTATTGTGAAAAATTTTTTAGTCACTGAAATTTTGTCATACATTTATATACATGTACATTGAGATATGAATTTGAAATTTTAGAAAGTAGGCTAACATAAATGTCTTTCATCTGATGCCACGCTATTTTATAAGGCATATTTTATACCAAGTAGCCTATTACTTGAAAATGTTTTTAAAATCATTTCAAATCTTTAGCTAGAACTATAAATTTGTGTTGTTCACTTGGTTTATTAATTTCCATATTCTTTCATTTTATTGTATTATAGGGAAGGTATTCAACATTTCAATGAACAAAACAAAGACAAAGTAAGTTTAAGATAATTTATATAATACTGGTAAGTATTTTTCAGTTAACTTTTCACAAGTTACACTTATCTTTGGTCTACCAACCTGTTAGAGCATTCACTGAAACATTGGATGTGAATAGTGTGTTCTTCCCCAACCTGTTAGAGCATTCACTGAAACAATGGATGTGAATAGTGTGTTCTTCCCCAACCTGTTAGAGCATTCACTGAAACAATGGATGTGAATAGTGTGTTCTTCCTTTGATATAGGAATTTATTTTTTCCTAAATTAAATTCTTTTATGAATATTTAGTTTCTCTTTTGTAATTTATGTGAAGAAAGATTTTCAGTCATTGTTGTTGCATGTCATTTTTATTTGTTTGTAAGAAAAACATAGTGAGTGATAAATGTAAGAAAGTACTACTGAAAGACCTTTAATACAGAGAAAACACAGAATAGATTGAATAATCTATGGAGTAACAGAATTAATGTATACCTTTACAAAACAACAAAAAATATACTCTCAGTAGGTCAGTAGAAACCATTGATTCAGTGGAAGAATGAGAGTTATCTTCATCCTTTACTATAGCAATAGATGGTAAACCCATGACAAAACATTCAAACAAATTATACTAGACTATAACAGTCTTATTCATTTATTTCAGGTTAAGTTTGGTTACCATGAGACTATAACAGGATTCTATATTTCTATAGTAGCTGATAGTGTTAATAGAACATCTGCATTAACTTTTGACGAATTTATTTCAAAGAATTTGTTTTTATTTGACAAAAATGTGATATCTAAATATTATACCAAAGGCAGGCTTTATAGTGATGATGCCAGGCACAGGTAAGAGTAGAATTTTATTGAAAACTGTTGTAAATTCAGAAATTATTGCAATGTGTTTATTAATTCTAAAAATGCTACCGTATCAGGACTGCAATAATAAAAACTCGAATTCATAGTTTCAGATTATCCTTCATAAATTTTTTTCAATCTAATTAATTAGATTTCACATTTTTACCAGTTGTCAAGGATTCGCAATAATGAATGCACACATTAATTTCTGAATTTACAGTATTAAATTAGATATTGATAAGCTGGACACAAAAAATAGAAACAAATTATTTTTTAGAAGAAGAATCAGTTGGGTCTTGGTTTATTGGCTTTAGGTATACACATGTATCTAGGCATAAAACAATCCACAGAAACCACAAACATGAGTATTTTGTATTAACATACTTTATCCATGTAGCAAAAACAGTCATGATGGTCTTGTGGTAATATGCTCAGATTGTAGGTTTGATTCCCAGGGTCATTTGAAAGGCTTTTAAACTGTTCTTTGCTACTTTCATTAACAAAGCATTTAGGAATAAAGACTTATATTAGTCATCTTGCAATTTGAAAAATGTGTGCAGGTAGGATGACATATAAATGAGAAGATGGTATGATAGGCAATGAGACAACTCTCCACAAGAGACCAAATGACATTAAAGTTAACAACTATAGGTCTGCGTACGGTCTTCAAGATGAGCAAAACCCATACTGCAGAGTAAGCTGTAAAAGGCCCAGAAATGACAAATGTAAAACAATTCTAACGAAAAAACTAACGGCCTGAAATATGTACAAAATAATAAATGGAAAACAAATATGATACCGTAATTTCAGAAATTATTACAAGGTTTTTATTAATGCGAATTATGCGACTGGGTGAGTATCGCAATAATAAGAATTCACATTCTGATATCTGACACATAGATCAACATGCAGATTTTCCTGAAATCATAATGACAAAACTCACATTTTTGTCCATTCTTAAAAAATTGCAAAAATAGATGGTTGCAATAATTTCTGAATTTACAGTATACAGAAACAAACGACAACCACTGAATTACAGGCTCCTGACTTGGGAAAGGCACATACAGAATGTGGCAGGGTTGAACATGTTTGCTGGGAATAAACCCTTCCCCTAACCTGGGAAAATGGTGTTAACAGTATGACATAAGAACAAACTAAAATTCAGTTGAAAAAGGCTTAACTCATCAGATCGATACAAAACACATAAACACCCTAACAAAAACACAAAAGACAAAAAGTATAGATTTGTGAGTACTCGCAGTTAATAAAAGCAAGTTCATGTCTGCCTTTGACCTATTGTCTGGTTATTGAGCTTGTTAAAAATATAGCTGAGCATGTTGGTCTAGTAAAAAGCTAGGTTAAGTTCATGTTCATTTCACACTAACACGTTGTCCTGCTCACAGGATATATAACATCCTTACAGCAATAGCTAAAATGGGTAATATATATATAAGATTATCACATTGCATAACAATTTCTCTGAACTGAGACCTGGATTTTAAAATATGCTGCTATTGTTATATTGCAGTACAACATTGTTATCTTTTATATTTTATGAATCAAAATTATATATGATGTAATCAGAGGGAACAAACTATTTATTTTTCAGTTTTGTGACTCCTGATATATGTCCCCTTCCATGTTAGGCACAAGTTGAAGAATTCCACCATCAAGTATCATGTGATATTATTTATTATATGCTTAATTAATTGAGTTACTTGCATTTTATTGAAATTTATATGTCTCACCTTTGTCAAGCAGAAGGGCATTTAAATTTAGCCTTGTTTGTTATATGTGTCGATTTAATTAATTTTATTTTAGGTAAATTTTTAAGAAGCTGTTTATAATGTATCAATGGTATTTCGCCACTTAAGTCTTCTGGTACAGTTCATCCTTATTTTGCAAAAATAACATCAGTATGACCATCTTTTCATACTTGAATAAATTTTGTTGAGTTTTGGGAATTTTTCTGTGAAATGCTCTAGAACTAACTTTGCATTTATATTATTTTAAATACACATTTCAGTTAGGTGATTTTTGTAATTTTATCAAAAGGAAATTCTGAACAGTCCTTTTTCATTATTGAAGTTTTTAAAATAGGAATACTAAATGTCATGTTAACAGGGAAAATTCTTCCATCTGTTTTATTTCAAATTAATTTTAACATCAAGAGGCAAATTATTACAACTGAGTCTATACAAGACATTGTGTGTAATTTTTAAAGGCAGTGCTTTAATGCCTTTCTAGTTGCCGTGTTAATCTTTCTTTCCGCGATATCCAACTTATCTACGTGGGGGGTCATTAGGCTCCAAGTAGATCCGGAAAATGTTGATTCTCTCCTCTTCTTATTGTGATATAAAATGTGTTTTGTTTCATTTCATTTACATTGGGAAATAGAGAAACGATCATTGTGTTTTGTTAGTTTTAAAAACTTTTGATATATTTGTATTTTACATTATAAGCAGTCAACCGATTGACAAACTAGAATTATTTGAATTCCGTGTGTAAAGAGGTTGGGTTAATTTCGAGTGTTATCTGCAATCTAGATGTTTATAAATCATTTCAGTCGTTGATATAATAATTAAAGGTCGACTGAACATGAATTATATTATACAATTTAAAGCGCATTTCTGTTTATGCACGCGAACCCGTCTAACGTTATTGTTATTTCGCAGTTATATAAAGTAGCAAATTATCGTTCTTGAATAGGTGGCGCCGTGGTAGCCGATCCTATTTTCAATTTCCGGTTTCTGCACTGTGCAACTATTACAGTTGCATTTTTAATTAACGATGCCAAGTACTTGTTGTTGTGTACCTGGATGTCATTTAAGAGGAGGACATGCATTTCCAAATGACTTAAAAAGAAGGAAAAGTTGGATCAACGCCATGGCCCATACGCAGATTGGACGAGAACACGGTGAAATCGTGGAGTCCATCTCAATCAGCTGTTGTTTGCAAGGCACATTTTACTGAAAAAGACTACGGAAACTATTCATGGTAAAACTCTATTTTCTTTTTAAAATATATAGTTATATATGTAATCGCCATGCGAATAAACCAAAGTCTGTTTACAACCGCAATAATCGTTTTAGAATAAAAGGGGGTGGTTAATTCAAGACGTCATAATTTTTTGGATTATGTATACGATTCAATGTGATCTGTTTGAGATTTTTTGGTGCTTGCTACAATTATAATGATTTCTTACAAGAGGTATATCATACTGAGAATTATTTTAGCAGTAATTATGCTAATGTAGTAATGACAGGAATGCATAAGCTATGCCTCATAGACTTTCTTGAAAAATATCAATGACAATGTTAACAGGAACAAAACAATGACATGCTCTCATCTATATTATAGTTATTTAGGTACAAACAATGTATGTTTGTTGCATACGTCTCTCATTGTTTGTCCTTTGGATTTACATAACATACATTTTGATATACATTGAATCAGGCTAACATAGTTTTATCCAGATTGTAATGAATAAATCTAGTTAATATTTTGCCAGGTAGTACAAAAATATGCATTGCTAATGGAAGTTCATTTAATTATCAAAAAACTAATGTTTTATAACCTTTTTCAGAGCGCAAACCCTCCATACAGAGACTTAAGTCTACTGCCATTCCCAGCCTATTTTCCTGGATCAAGCAAGAGACTGAATCGTCCGCAAAAAGAAAAATCAGGGCAGTTTCCTGTGAAAACAAAAGAACTAAACTTGATGAATATTGTAGTAGAAATCTAGAGGAAAGTTTTGATTGTAAAGTTGGTTTTCCTGAAGAAGTCATTCATACTGCAGACAGGATTTATGACTGTCCACCACCAACTGCCGAGCTAATGTTGAGCTTCACAGATGGAATTACGCAAACACCATCAATGCCTATATTTTCAGCAGAGAATTTTGAAATGAAGACACGTGACACAGCCATGCATTTTTATACCAGTTTAGAGTTGTATACTAAATTTTTATTTGTTTTGACCACACTTGGTCCAGCAGCACATTGTTTGAGATACATGTGTACATATATTTTCAAATTGTTAGGGTGTCATTTGAAAATCATTTTTTTTATGACTTTGATGAAATTGAGGCATTATACAAACTAACTTTGAACTGTCTAGATTCTAGATTGAAACTAGTGTAAGAATATTGTGTAAACATGGATTGTTTTTATGTCTAAACAGTGGCATGAGGCTAACACTTGGCCATTTAGTGGTTTAGTCAGGTATTTTTCGCCATCCAACTTCAAATTAAAGTTTCCTACAACTTGGATTATTATTGACAGCACAGAATATCCCGTGATAAAACATAAAGCTCCTAGAGCTCAGGCAACCTTTTCATCATATAAAAACAGGAACACTGAAAATACTTGTATGTTTGACACCTGGTGGTTTAGTCAACTACAAAAATGTATGTCTCTAATGCATATGTTGGTTGTACCAGTGACTGTGAAATAGTTGAAAGATGTAGAATACATGTGTAGTTCAATTATGTGATCCAGGTGACAGTGTGATGGCAGACAAAGGTTTGAATGTGCAAGATTTGTTTGCTCACTTTTTTCAAAAAAAGAAACAGAATTAGTTCCAAAACTCTTATACGGGATAGAAAAGTCTCCAATTAACACGTGCACATAGAGCTAATTATTGGACTTGGCAAAACATACAAAATTCTAATAAATCCTATGAATGGAACTGAAACAAAACTTTCATCTGAAATAACATTTAGTTGTTTTATGATGTGTAATTTTAGAACTTGTATTGTGCCAAAGGATGCATAAATAAAAGTGACGCAATGAAGTTTGTTCTGATATATATATATAAATATTATTTACAATTGCATGCACATGTAAATTGTAATGCATAAAAAAATAAGGAGATGTGGTATGATATTCAGTGAGTTTATCGAACCAAAGTGCATAAGAAATGGGTTAAGCAGTTACAGGTGTTACTGTCACCTTACAATCTCCAACAATTAGAAAAACTTGTACCGTGTAAAAAATTTCAGAGATCTTACAACTAAGTTTGACTTTGGTGAATTGTTTATATCTGTTGATGTAAATATAAAAAAGAAGATGTGGTATGATTGCCAATGAGACAACTCTCCACAAGAGACCAAATGACACAGAAATTAACAGCTATAGGTCACAGTACGTCCTTCAACAATGAGCAAAGCACATACCGCACAGTGAGCTATAAAAGGCCCCGAAATGACAATGTAAAACAATTCAAACAAGAAAACTAACGGCCTAATTTATGTACAAAAAATGAACGAATAACAAATATGCAACACATAAACAAACGACAACCACTGAATTACAGGCTCCTGACTTGGGACAGGCACATACATGTACATACAGAATGTGGCGGGGTTAAACATGTTAGCGGGATCCCAACCCACCCCCTAACCTGGGACAGTGGTGTAACAGTACAATATAAGAACGAACTATAAAAATCAGTTGAAAGAGGCTTAACTCATCAGATGGATAAATACAAATACAAGTGGACGTGGCCGGGTACTTGTACATCCAAACAACTAAAAGACACTAAGTACAGATCTGAGAGTACTCGCATTTACTGACAGCTAGTTCAAAGCCACTAACAACTGATAAAAAAATCTTGCATTTAAGACTAAATTATCAATCCGTAAGCTCCCTTTAGAATTTTATAAATTTTAGATTTTACATTTCTGAGTTGTGGGGTTTTATTCATTAAAAAAGGGGGGATTTTCCAGTTTTTGGACAACAACTCAAAAATGCTTTAAGCAGTTCGCATGAAACTTTGGTGAATTATTTATAGCTATTGATGTAATCTCCCTATTGATTTTCATAAATTTCAAATATGACATTGAGAAGAAATTGAACTTTATTTGTTTATAGTCTGGCAACAGATTTATTAAGTATTGCGCAACAGCACAGTGTATTGCACAACAGCAAGAAATCTTTAATTGAATATAAATTCAATTCATATAACCGATTTCAAGTTCTTTGACTACATTTATTCAGAAACTATAATATGTCAAATATTTAATTACAAGCCAAATTCAGACCTGTATCAAGCTTGAATATTGTGTCCATTTTTGCCCCAACTGTTCAGGGTTGGACCTCTGCAGGTGTATCCAGCTGTGCTCAGCGAATCAGTTTATTTCTTAATTAAGAACTCCTTTTTTGTCGAGCCTGCGACTTTTGTCGCAGAAAGCTCGACATAGGGATAGTGATCCGGTGGCGGCGTTAGCTAACTTAAAAGCTTTATATTTTAGAAGGTGGAAGGTCTGGATGCTACATACTTTGTATATGGATGCCTCATGTTATGAAGTTTCCGTCAGTCACATGTCCAATGTCCTAGACCTCATTTTCATGGTTCAGTGACTACTTGAAAAAAAAGTTAAGATTTTTTGTAATGTTAAATTCTCTCTTATTATAAGTAATAGGATAACTATATTTGGTATGTGCGTACCTTGCAAGGTCCTCATGCCCGTCAGACAGTTTTCACTTGACCTCGACCTCATTTCATGGATCAGTGAACAAGTTTAAGTTTTGGTGGTCAAGTCCATATCTCAGATACTATAAGCAATAGGTCTAGTATATTCGGTGTATGGAAGGACTGTCCAACTGGCAGGTGTTATCTGACCTTGACCTCATTTTCATGGTTCAGTGGTTATAGTTAAGTTTTTGTGTTTTGGTCTGTTTTTCTTATACTATATGCAATAGTTCAACTATATTTGGTGTATGGAATGATTGTAAGGTGTACATGTCTAGCTGGCAGGTGTCATCTGACCTTGACCTCATTTTCATGGTTCAGTGGTCAAAGTTAAGTTTTTGAGTTTTGGTCTTTTTTTCTAATACTATATGCAATAGTTCAACTATATTTGGTGTATGGAAATATTTTATGATCTATTTGTCAGTCATGCAGGTTTTTTTTTTACCTTGACCTCATTTTCAAGGTTCATTGCTCAGTTTTAAGTTTTTGTGTTTTGGTCTGTTTTTCTTAAACTATAAGCAATAGGTCAACTATATTTGTTGTATGGAAGAATTGTTAGCTGTACATGCCTGCCTAGCATGGTTCATCTGACCTTGACCTCATTTTCTTGGTTCATTGGTCAATGTTTAGTTTACTTGGTTAATGTTAAGTTTATGTGACAGTTGTAATAAAGCTTTATATTTAGGACTATCAACATAATATCAATTATTAGTAAAGAAGGCGAGACATTTCAGCGTGTGCACTCTTGTTTCATTCATAAATTACTTTATACTTGGAAATATAATTTTGCTTGGAGTTATAGTTTCTAAAAAAAGTATTGTCATTGAAAGAGTTGACATGTTGCAATGTACATTTATTCTACATAGTTTTATGGTACCAAATCAAAAGTTTATATAAAAGAAAAAAGTCAAAGTTTTCCCATCATAGTTTAGTTACATACATTTTTTTTGTACCTGAGGTCGTTGAATATAGATCATTATATAAATAAGGAGATGTGTCATGATTGCCAATGAAACAACTATCACCCATACATTGTAATTATCAGTAACAAACCACATTTGCAAAGTCGAATAAAATACAGTTGATAACATTTACTTATTACTAAAAAGAAAATGCCAAACCATTTTTAACAGTATTTGACTATAAACATAGATAAAAAAAGGTACAAACTGGACATAATGCACTAGTTCATAAACAAATGAGAACAATCGCCTTCATATAGTGCTCAGAATATGACATTCATAAAACTTGTTCAATATCATTAGAGAACTCTAAATCTTAAATACTGAAAGCCACCTCTGATAAGTACAATGTACTATGCAAGATAATGATATAACCGGACTAAAAATACACACAACCTGTAATTAACTGCCTTTACAGCGCTTTCGCGCTTTGATTGTGCTATGCTGCAGATGGAATTGTTTATTTATAAGGCAATGCTAGTTTAAAGGTAGCTGGAATTTAAAGCTAGATTATTTTTAATGATCTTTTTTTCGTATTTTTATATTTGTATAAAAGAAGAAATAATGTGGCTTGGATGGGAACATAGTTAGTTCCTATATTAACATAGTAAATTTAAATAAGAAAGGTTGATCACTTTCTTCATTCAATTGAGATTAATTCATTATGCTGATGTATCTTTCTTGTCAATAGTCTAGAAAAAAAGAATCTTCAAACAGTGTAGCCAGATATTTTTGTCAACCAATTTAGATTTTGCTATAATTTGCTGTTATATGCTGGATTTATGTTCTTATAAATTGTGTTCAGTTTGTGTATATTTCAGACCCTAGTTTAACTATGTTGTCTAATACACACTTACAATGTGTATTTAGAGTTATTGTTATTGGGGTAGATACTGAAAATGCTGATTTTCATAAATTTTAAAACAGATTTACCACTTTACACAAAGTGATTCATGATTTGAAAACCTTAATATTTTTAATTTTGTTTGAATCCAAACTGAAGAGAAGTTGTCTTGTGATTTTTTATATAAATTGTGTTCTTCTGAGAAATAAATTGTATAGAATGCACTGGATAACTTAATAAATTGTGATAAAATGCATTAGCAAATTATATCAGTCAGCATTATTGAAGTAGGTACCAAAGACCGACTTGTTATACCTTTCAGTATATAGACTATTTTACCGTTAAATTGCACAATATAGGATGCATTTTTTGTGTTTTTAGAAACTAACGGTTCTTGTATGGATGGTTACTTAACGCTTTATTCTTTCAACAACAAAAAAAGATTTAATATACCTGCAAGGTATTGAGGTGTATAATTTTTGTTTGTAGTATCTGCTCAAAACGAAACAGGAATATTTTATTCTATTATAGCTAAGAATAAAATATCTTATATTATAATTTCATGGTGTTAAATGAATGATTTCACAGAAATTTAATTCTTCTGTTAACCAAATTTAGCATTGATTGAAATTACTATAGGATTAAACGCCTTTTTAAAGGAATTTATTGGTGTATAAACTCGACCAATTCACTCACAAACAAATAAAAGTCCGAAGGACTTTTATGATATGTTTGTGAGTGACTTGGTCCAGTTTATACACCAATAAATTCCTTTAAAAAAGCATTTAATCCTTATAATTCTTTAAAAATGGAGATAAGGAATTCATTTTCCCACACTCATAACCTCTATCACACGTAAATTGTATACTTGTGTCATTGAATTGGCCTGGCGCATGAATATATTTGTTGGTTAACGCAAAATTATGTATCCATGAAATTTGCTATCTGATAATAAATAAACTGCAAAAACATCATATTGTCATTCAAAAGTGTTTATTATTTAAATTAATGATTAACGCGAAGTGAAAATACATTTTGTTAACGTCAAGCCGGATTGTGTTATTATCGCCGCCATCTTGTTTACATTGGTTACGAAAAGAAGTTCGGTCAACGTCGTCTATCGAAAAATAAACAACGTCAAGAACAACTACCGGAAGTCCTCTCGACCAATCATATCAACGTATTCCCTAATATGCAAATCATATAAGAATTATATTCAAATAACAATTTACATGAAAACATGAGTTAAACAGATAAACAATAGAAGGTTTATTTATGAATATTATGTACCCCAAAAAAACAAGGCTTTTATGAAATGTCATTTTACTCTTTCTATAATTTTTGGTGTTCTTTTATACTTTCTTTGCTGTCTCATAGTACAGTGCTGGAGGTTGTGAGTTTTTTCTCTAGCTTGATCAGTCTAAAGACTTATTTTACTGCTTATCCATCAAGCTTTGAACATTTTGTAGTTAACAGCAAAGACTGATCATCTCAAAGTAAGATAAATTGTTTTCCTACAGATTTTTTCCTTGTAAACTACCTTGTTTAAAATTGAGACTTAGGTTGTCAGTCTAGAGCAAAGCAGGATACATTCATATGACATTAAAAATAAATTGCTTTTGTAGTGAATATGCATGTAAAATTTGCATTTACTATATTGTTGTAACATTGCTTATTTCTTTCTTAATTTTTATGATATTTAATTATGCTTTGTTAATTTGTTTTGTTGTGGTATTTTTTAAAACAATAATAAAAATTTAAGATAACCAGTGAAGTGCAAGTATATTGTTACTGAAACTATAATAGGAATGTTGTTTTTTTTATTACATTATGAAACATCGTAAATGTAGTGCTACATTGTTATTTTTGTTATGTGTTATTTGTTATTTTGTATTGACTGTGACAAATGTCTACTACTGTAGAAGGCTGTACATTGTCTGCATATATCTATAATAATCAAACCTTTTTTTTAGCTAACAGTTCAATGGATTTTGTAAAAAAGTTCCATCATGTGGTGATATTATGTAAAGTATAAAAGCCATATGTATATTTATGTGTAGTATTTGTAAGAAACAAATTGAAATATTTTTTTGTTACAAAAAATGTGGAAAAATGTAATGAGTTGAAAATTAGCCATAAATCACCTTAAATCAAATGAACAAGTAATGATTTTTTTTAACAGGAAGCTTAATACATGTAGTACCATTAAATCAGAAATATCGATGAAAGTACATACTGGTATCTCCAAAAAATAGCTACTTCTAAAGTAAAACAGTGATATAGTAATATCAATTATTATTAAATTCTTCCAGGTTTTAGCATTTGAATGATTGGCAGCCTTAATAAGAAACGACTAGACACAGTCAGCAATGCAAAATTCTTTCAATAATGATTATTTTCCTTACTTTATACTCTATTATGCAGATTTAACTGAGATCTTCTGAGCAATCAATTTAAAGAGAAAATATTTGATGGTGAATACTGAATTTTCAGTTGAATTATAATTATATTATTCTTTATGTGTATAATTGAATTGATTTTGAGTAACTAAGGAGAAAAAATCCGGGAGCTCTGAATTTTGAAAATAAAATATAGGGACCATTCCATATAAACATGGCATTTTCAATACATTTCTTAATTAAAGTACTGTACTTGTATACTAAAAAATTGAATAAAAATATGCATACAATGGACATTTCTTCAGTTAGGCCAGATATTACCCACATAAGGTCAGACATGGGTACAAATGTATTACCTTTCAATGGCAGTGGCTATGACATATTTAATTTGTAGAAAACCTTACATTTTAAGAAAGAAGAAGAAATAGGTCAATCCATGTTTCTTACATTCATACCATAAGATAGCTCTGAAGTTTCTGACACTTGTCCTTGACATCATTTTCATATTTCATAGGCTTTATAAATTTCAAATTTGGATTGCTTTCACAAGTAGTTTTAGTTTCCATGGTTGATCTGTGTCCAGTTGCTGTATGTAATAGTTCAAGTTAATTTTTATGTATATATGTTATGGGTAATATTTGGTCTATTGATAAGTTCCTGAACTGAAATGGTAGAAGGGTCGATTTGTGACTAAAAATCTGAATGAAGTGTGGGAGAAGAGCACCTGACAAGTCACATGACATTGCAGCTGACAAGTAAAACAAACATGCAAAAACCTTTAAAGAACAATAACCTTTGTCATTATCAAAATTCAGGTTTTTGCACTGTGGTTCATAGCTTTAATTTTAGCTTGTCTAAATACAAATGTGTAGAACTGCCAACATGAGATTTAATTTAACATATGCATTTTAAACTTTTTTTAAATTTGTTTAGCAAAAGCCATTTTAATAATAAAAGAGATAAGAAAACTACAGAAAAATGTGTGTTCATCATTAGCTTGTTAAAACATTTATTTGTATTTATCTATCAGAACCGGTACTCTACTTCTTCTCATTAAGCTTGGATTTATCTTGAGAGTACATAAGTGTTGTAATAAAAACTATGCCCAGAAAATAATTTTCTGTTTGTGATAAGCGCGGAGACAATTTAAAAAAAAGATTACACTCAAGAAGTTATTTATAACCAGTAATTTATTGTATTGTATCAAACCATTAGCTAAGTTGTGACTTGCAAAATGCCATTCAGCTACATGTCAGAATTTCTATAAGTTAATGGACATTTTGTTTTGGACCATTACTCAAGTTTTCAACCAAACTTGGGTTCAATATGAAGACCCTTTTGATTTTGTGGTCTATATATATAAGTGAAAGATGAAGTGTAATTAATTCAATATTTACCAAACTTTTGTGAGCTTTACTATTAGTGAGGAAAAGACTTGTATTGCACACTAGCAGGTCAAAGGTCAATATCACTGCAGCTATAATGTAACTGTATTTTTTAAGAAGAATATTACCCGTATCATGCCAACAACTGGTTTTAGAATAAATGTGTTTATTTCCGATGCAAAGACCCTATGAGTGAATCAGTATTAATATCTTTGAAATCATTCATCCAAACTTTGGTTGCTTATCCCCAGTTTCTCGACAATATCTCCTGGTCCAAAATTCAGATCTGAGCCAATCATTGGTTGACACTTTCGTTTTACATTTTAAAAGAGAAAGACACTTTACATTGTGAAGTCACAAGGTCCCAGATCAAGGTCAGTTTAGGTAGTAGTAAACTAAGAAGTGTCTTTTTTATTTAATTATAAAAAACACATTATCAGTTTTAGTGATAAAATCAATCATTTCAATTCTAATCAAAGTACTGAAGTACTGAACATCGGATGACGGCAAGTTCTGGTGGATGGTCACAAGCACTTGTCTCAGAAAAAAATCACATCTCTATACCTGAAAGTGAGGTTAAGGTAGATAGATATATTTTTTCTGAGACAAGTTCGTGTGTGAATGATGAATATATGACAGGGAATTCAATCTCACCGTAATAAATATTATATTGTAGTGATATAATTATTTGTTATCAGTATACTCTGGGAACAGTATATCTGTCATGATATATGTTCCTGGTATACTCTGGTTTGTTGTTATATATTATATTTATATTTGTATAATAGTTATATAAAATTTTCATCCATTTGTATATCATTCTATTCTACTCTTCTAATGATAGTGCAGTGCAAGTGCATGGTGGACACTCTTCTGCAATAATTCGTTTTTTCTAATAGATTAGATTTGATATTTTCCCATGTTTGTTACAAAATGTTCTTGAGATATTCTTCCACATGTGTTAACACAAATTTTCGGTGTTCTTGATTTGTTATTGATATATATATTTCTCACGACAAAACATTTTCATATCATTTATCTTTGTTCTTTAAAATTATTTTCCTGAATATTTATTGATAAAATTAATATATAACAAGCGATAAGGAATGTTATTTTTGCACACGATAATATCCGCGTAATTATAGGGTTATCAGTCAAAAACGAATGTCACGTGGGTAGAAATGTCTGTGGCAACAATACACCGGAATGCCCTCATGGTCATCCGATGTAAAAATAAAATAATAATAAGATTTCAGTTTGAAAAACCAAACACATCAAGAAATTTAAGGTTAAGCACACAGCAACCAAAGCAAAATATATTTTTTCTTATAATAAATAGTTTACACTAAACAATAAAAACATTTATATTAAAAAAATGAAACTCATTACACACTTAATGTTTTAAATGTTGACAGTAAAAATGACTTCATGTTAACCATATAACATTCTTTTGTGGAATACTTCTGTCAGCACTGTCTCTAATTGTTGTGGAGTCTGAAACAAAATACTGATTCCTTGAATAATTTGTTAATTTACAATTAAGAGTATTGTAACAAGTACTTTGAGCAATTTCAAGGTTCAAAATTATATTCAACTTTTAAAAATGTTCTAGTGTATATCATATTTTTTACACTGTATTCCAATGAATCAGAGTATACCTGACTTAATCTGAAAGGTGCTTAGCAATGTCTTAACCATATGCTACCAAGTTTAAATTTTACAATACCAAGTCTATTAAACAAACTGTACTAAACCAACTGTTAAATTTGATTGGTCAGTGTGATTTGTACACAACCTATCTTTGATTGGTCATTGTGATTTGTACACAACCTAACTTTGATTGGTCAGTGTGATTTGTACACAACCTAACTTTGATCAGACTTAAAACCACAGGCACTTGTCTCCGAATTTTTTTTTTCTTTATATTTAGGTATATACGGAAAAACAATTTCAGAGTCAAATGCCTGTGCTTAAAACGGTTCAGATGTGGCTGACTTTGTGTCCAGTACAGTTAACACAAGTTAACATATAGAGATGTATTCATGTACCGCTTAAATCGACGCTAGGGGCCGTCTTGACCTTGTTGTAGGGTATGAATGATTCGTTCATTGTTGAAGACCCTACATCAACTGTCAAGATGAAGAACAGGAATAAAAGCCCTGTTCATTGATAATTTTCTATGTTTTTTATGTATTGTGTGCGATTTTGTCCCATGTACATTTACTCCATATCCTTTCATTTTCTATATATTTATACCAGATGGTTGACTAATATATTTACTGACTCTGAAGTACAGAATATGGCCGTTTATAGATTTTAGTTACATGTATATGTTCAAATAATAGGAATGTCAAAATTTAGATGGAATAATTTCACTCTTTTTCTTATGAATTCCAAAATCATATAACTATCTGCAATATGATAATATCAAACACAGACTTTCCAATTTAACAATTTATGTAATCATTGTGTTGTGATATTTCAATGTTGCCTAGAAATATGATCTTGACAATTTGACTATAGAAATACTCATCAATTTAGTTACATGATTTAATCCAAGGATTATTTGTTAGATATCATGTCAAATTCAGGATACTTTAGACAAGAGGTCATCTTAACAAAGTACTTACCAAATAAAAAAAAACACACAAGTGCTTAGAAAATTTACCTTAGACAGAGCATCAGTTATTTCATCAGGGTCAAGAATTAGTTAGAGATCTGACCATTCTCTTGTTACTTATAAAATTGCTTTACTCTCATGAACTAAGAGAAAGGGGTGCATATGGGAACTTGATATAATAATCTTTAGCATGAAACAAAATTTGCTAATTACGTTAAGTTGTCATGAAGATTGTGGTTGAAAGATACAACTACACTCCACTAGCATCAATTTCCTTGTTATGTATAGGTGTAACAATCATTCAAAGAATGAGAAAAATTTTCTTGTATGTTTGGTTTTGATGAACAACTGGTTCTTGTCCCCATCTTACTCAGGTTTGTCTTTTGTTATTGATTATCAAAACTATTCCCTTTGTTTTATTTAAGTTGAAAGACCCCAAAAGGGCAGTCTTTAAACAGTGCATTAAGAAATATCACACCTTGGTGTTAGATAATTTTCTTGTCGTTTTAAAACAAGAAGATGGAGGAGTGAATACTGCAGGGTCTTTGATTCCAGGTACTGTACTTAAGACATCTAAACTGACAATGTTGCCACTATCTGGATTGTCAGATCCCACTATATAAACCATGTGTATGGGTAAACAACTATCTATAACAAAAACAATTTTGATTATTTGCATTCCTTAAACTACTTATACTGTTTTAAAAGGATACAATAAGACATCCGCATAATCATAAACGTGTGAATTTGCTGAAGAAATAGGTGAAAAAATTTTGCCAAACTCAATTGCTTTATCATTATAAAAATAAGGAGATGTGGTATGATTGCCAATGAGACAACTATCCACCAAAGTTCAAATGATTCAGAAATGCATGTAAGCAACTATAGGCAACCGTACAGCTTTCAACAATGAGAAAAACCTATACCGTATAGTCTGCTATAAGAGACCCTGATATGAAAAATATGAAACATGAATAGCATAGACTCAGTTTTGTTAGCCCATGGATGTATTATATTGACAATATAATACTTCCATGGTTAGCCTAATTAATTATTGAATTTTCTTTTAGATGCATTGTGCTGCGGTTTTGTTTGAATGATTTGCCTGGTTTTTGTCCACTTTCGTTTATATGTTCGTTTCTGTGTGTTGTTGTTTAGAGACTATGTTTAATTTTAGGCATATCTCTACTGATTCTGTTGTCTTGAAAATGCATGAAATATTTGTCGCTGGACATTAAACCACCAACAATCAATCAATCTATGGAGTTTTATTAAATGATACATCAATGGTCCTCTCTACTAATAATGGTTATTAATACCAACCGCTATCTAGTAAAAATAGAATTTTTTAAATGAAGAAAAACATTATTTACTATCCTCAATTGTTTCCAGTGATATGAATAACAGTGCCCTTGTATAATCAGAAATAATTCTCAATTCATTTCAATTTTAAATTAAAATGAAACATTCATGATGAAAATCCAGTATATTCATGTTTAAAACTTACGGAGATTGGAAAAAATTAAATAGGTATGAAAGTGTACTGTTTTTTGTACTGGGAATAGATCTAGGTGAGCGATACAGAGCCTCTAGTTTTGTCATATAATTTAAAAGGGAAGAGACAAATTTGGAAGCCCCGGTGGGACTATGTGTGATAGTTTACATTGAAAATTGTACAACTGACCTCGTTGGATGGTTCCTCGTACGTTATTGAAGCTCTCAGATAACGTCAGTATATAAGTATCGGTGATAACACCATCTCCAACTTTTCCACTGCTTTTTAATATTCCACTGTCTTAAAAACATTAAAAAACTAAATATTTGCATTTATTTTATTAAAAAATCAATTGATAAATTATTTTGTTGTTTTATGTTTTACTTTTTTTTACAAGACAAATGTATAAAGAAATGAATTTTATCCAAAAAATCGGACAATGTCAGCATAACTTAATAATATCTATTTTACAAAGACAATAAAAGGACTTTTAAAAAGATATATCATGATATCTGAACATTTCAAATGGCAAGGATGGGAATGACTCCTGGGACTCACCCTATCAATTAATGCTTCTTGACATATCACACGAGAAAATATATGGTTTACTGTTTGGGATCTCAACAATTGTCAAGATATCACTCCTTGGGACTCATCCTATATTTAATTTGAATTGTCTTATCATGTAGAAAATTTTCATTACATTAGATTGTCCATATATTTAACGGCTTTGGGGTAATTTGAAAAACAATTTTCAAGGTCAAAGGTGAAGATCATAAATGACCACTAACCTTTTGCCCTTAAAACAAAGCAGAGCATGTGAGCTCACGATCATTACTGAAGACCCTGTGTATATGTCACTTACACTTAAATGTTAACCATCTACACATGTCATTAAAAAAGAAAATTTCTCCATATTCATGGTTCTATAGTAAACTCAATCCTTCTTCAAAGTACCCCTAAAGAGACGCCAATGAACAAACAAAACCCAGTTTGCACAACGAGACATGTAAATCTATAACAATGTAGAACCTTAAGTATCTACAACTAGTCGGTTTCTGAGAAATGCTGCGTACAAGTTCAGGTACAAGACACTGGAAGGAGAAGAAAATGAAGAAATAGAAGAAGTCTTTAATCTTAATTTTGGAAAGTCATCTTTTAAATTATCAACTAAATTTCATAATCCTGTTGCAAAACGTTTCTAGGTATCTCTGGTAGTCACTTAGTATAATGATAATATAATAATAAATATGTAACTATAATTCCAAGCATATGATGGCTTAAATATCTAACCTGAATGCATGTTTGGTAAAGTATCAATCAGTATTCATAAAATTGAGAATGGAAATGGGGAATGTGTCAAAGAGACAACAACCTGACCATAGAACAGACAACAGCAGAAGGTCACCAACAGGTCTTCAATGCAGCGAGAAATTCCCGCACCCGGAGGCGTCCTTCAGCTGGCCCCTAAACAAATATATATACTAGTTCAGTGATAATGAACGCCATACTTAACTCCAAATTGTACACAAGAAACTAAAATTAAAAATAATACAAGACTAACAAAGGCTAGAGGCTCCTGACTTGGGACAGGCGCAAAAATGCGGCGGGGTTAAACATGTTTATGAGATCTCAACCCTCCCCCTATACCTCTAGCCAATGTAGAAAAGTAAACGCATAACAATACGCACATTAAAATTCAGTTCAAGAGAAGTCCGAGTCTGATGTCAGAAGATGTAACCAAAGAAAATAAACTAAATGACAATAATACATAAATAACAGACTACTAGCAGTTAACTGACATGCCAGCTCCAGACTTCAATTAAACTGATTGAAAGATTATGTCTTCATCATATGAATATCAGGCACAATCCTTCCCGTTAGGGGTTTAGTATCATACCATCATAACATAAATGAGAAGAACATAACCCGTGTCATGCCAACAACTGGTTGTCGAGCCTTCGACTTTTGTCGAAAAAGCGAGACATAGCGATCCTACATTCCGTCGGCGTCGTCGTCGTCGTCGGCGGCGTCCACAAATATTCACTCTGTGGTTAAAGTTTTTGAAATTTTAATAACTTTCTTAAACTATCCTGGATTTCTACCAAACTTGGACAGAAGCTTGTTTATGATCATAAGATTATATTCAAAAATAAATTTTGTAAAAAAAAAATTCCATTTTTACCGTATTATACTTATAAGTGGACTTAGTTTTTCTGCCAGGAAACATTACATTCACTCTGTGGTTAAAGTTTTTGAAATTTTAATAACTTTCTTAAACTATCCTGGATTTCTACCAAACTTGGAAAGAAGCTTGTTTATGATCATAAGATAGTATCCAAAGTAAATTTTGTAAAAAAAAAATTCAATTTTTTCCATATTTTACTTATAAATGGACTTAGTTTTTCTGCCAGTTAACATTACATTCACTCTGTGGTTAGAGTTTTTAAAATTTTAACAACTTTCTTAAACTATCCTGGATTTGTACCACACTTGGACAGAAGCTTGTTTATGATCAAAAGCTAGTATCTAGAAGGAAATTTTGATAAAATTTTGTTCCATTTTTTCTGTATTTTACTTATAAATGGACTTAGTTTTTCTTCCAGTCAACAGTACATACATTCTGCAGATTAAGTTTTTAAAACATTTATTAGATTCATAAATTATCCTGGATTTTTACCAAACTTGGACAGAAGCTTCTTACAATCAAAAGATAGTATAGAGAGGAATGTTTTTATTAATTTTTTTCCTCATTTTTGTTGAGCCTGCGATTAACACCAAAAGTAGGCGAGACACTGGGTTCCGCGGAACCTTTACGAATTTTTTTTAAATAAATGTGTTTAGTGCCGATGCAAACCAGTTTATCATGCTTTTGTTATTGAATTTAAAAATGCTTTACCTTGTACACATTCTCTGGTCATATTCTGACCAATCTTTGATTTTTCACAAGAGCCACCACTGATGGCATACTGCATATTCTAGAAAAAAGTACAATATCAACAGTTACAAAATGCCAGACCTGATTTTTTTCATGTATAGATGTAACAAGAGTGTGCACGCTGAAATGTCTCGACTGTTTTACTTATCATTGAATTCATGTTGAACATCTGTAATATGAAGGTATTACTACAAGTGTCACATAAACTTTACATTAACCATGTTCTATGAAAATGAGGTCACGGTCAGATGAACCCTACTAGACAGACATGTACACACTGCAATCGTTCGATACACCAAATATAATTGAGCTATTGCTTATAATATCTGAAAAAAGGACCAAACCACAAAAACTAAACATTGTCCAACAAACCATGAAAGTGAGGTCAAGGTCAGATGAAACCTACCAGTCGGACATGTTCACCTTAAAACCATTACATACACCAAATATAGTGGTCCTATTGCTTATAGTATCTGAGAAATATACCAAACCACAAAAACTAAACATTGTCAAATGAACCATGAAATTAGGGTCAAGATGAAACCTGCCAGTCTGACATGTACACCTTACAATCATACCATACACCAAATATAGTTGACCAAACGCATATCGTATCTGAGATACGGACTTGGCCGCGTAACTTTAACCTCGCTGATCTATGAAATGGGGTCGCGGACAGGTGAAACCCTACCTGACGAACATGTAGACATTGCAAGGAACCCATATACCAAATATAGTTATCTTATTACTCATAATAAGCAGGAACATATATATTGACGGGACTTAACACTACTTGGATATACGGTGACAAAAAACTGCATTTTTTTCAAGCAGTCACTGAACCACGAAAAGGAGGTCAAGGACAATGGACATATGACAGACGGAAACTTCGTAACATAAGGTATCTGTATACAGGGAATGAAGTATCCAGGTCTTCTACCTTCTGAAATATAAAGCTTTAAACAAATAGCTTTCGCCGTTGCCGTCGTCGAATTATAATCCCTATGTCTCGCATTCGGCGACTTTCGTCTCAGGCGAGACAAAAAGGACAAAATGTGTAATTCTTTATGACGCTTTTTAAATTAACAGTTTTTAATTTCCAACAAAAACTTGAAAGTATCGCATTGAATTTTGTTCGGCTCCTAATTAACGAGTAAAATACAAATAAGATTTTAAAAATATCATACGCAGAGTAAGATTATATGAGTCGTACTAAGATAAAACTGACCTTTTTATAATCAAAAATATAGGTTTTATTGATCGGTTCCGGTTTGGGGATCAATGGACTAATTTCAGTCCCTACAATAGTGAAAAACGCTCTTGAGTTGGTATAGTCGTAGGATACGTTTACACTTCCATTGAAATACAGATACAGCGTATTGGAGTCAATGAACACTTGCATAAAATCCAAATACATATGTCCTTCCCATTGGTCTGGAGCACAGCATATTGTTCCATCTACACCGATATTAGACACGACAGTTCCTAAAGTAATGACCAGTAACAGAAAATGTGAACATATCGACATTATAAACTGTATTAACCTACCGTAACTTTGATAAAGTGTCCGAAGTCCACTAGAGTTTATCTAGTATCTTCTTAAACAACAAGAAAAAAAGAGCATTGGGTTAAATGTGATAGATTAACGCTCATTCTAGACAAAGTGATAGACGTTGATATTTATATTACCATCTAGATCTCTTTTATATCGTTGGGTTGCTGTATCAAATCTCTTTTGATTAATGTTCAGTGTTTGGAACAATCCGACCCTGCACGTAGATGACATTGCGTTATTTTTTTTCACGAAAATATTGTCGAGGGTTTTGGCTGTAGTGTTTTTTCTTTTAAGACTGCTTCACAAAGATATTTACCATATTGCTGGTATAGAACCATAAAGGACTTCCAGTGTCCAACATTTAACCAATTTAAATTTTTCAGTGCTTAAGCGGTATATTATTTGACAAGAATTCCTGCTTTTTCGAGGAGTAGTTTTTAAAGAAACGAAAACCATTCAAGTTGACAGTATCTATTGTTAATTGGAACGGACCAACATAGCATCTTGATCTTACTTAGTTCATTGAGTTGTAAATTTTACTATACATATAGCAAAAAGATAAAGGTGTGATTAATTGCAGGTCGCCGTACTGCCCTCAACAATCAATGAGGAAACTCCATACCGTAAACGTGTATTTAGTTATAAAAGGCCTAAACTTGACAAAATATATAGAACTGTTCAATAGAGATTGATATTATACAATACATGAAAACAAATATGACAGTCAGCAACCAACGCCGACTACCACTGAATTATAGGTTTCTATAATAGGTATTGGGACAGGCACATAAATAATATGGCGGGGTTTTAAACATTGTTAAAGTTTTTCACGATGCTCGTGTTATGAGAGTGCCAAGTACTTTTCACGCAAAAGCACTGCCCAAATCACCTTCCTTATAAGAAACTCAATAGAATTTTAGAAATGACTATACAAATAATTCAGTTTTGAGAATTGTTAATTCATTTGTAAGAAGTTTAGATACTTGAATTCATTTTCTCTCCATTTACCAATGTAGTAATTAATTGGATTTATCTGTACTAATATGACCAGGTTGTTGGTCACCTCTGTCATATTTATTAGTTTCGGGGGAAACTAGCGGTATCTTAAATAAAGTCCAAGTCGCTGGAAAGTTTACATATTTATTTCGCATCCATATATTTCAATCATTAAAACATAACTGAATAACAACATAAAAACAAATCTAAAATACAAATTCAAAAGACTGATTGACCTGCGGAATATCAACCAATCAAATATCTTTTCATTAAATAATATTAATTCGCGTTTTGCCGAAAGCGGGGATTACGGATTAAAAACATGCTTCGTATAAGTTTGTCAAGAATGGCTTTCGGCAGTTATCACTTAGTGTCAAATTATCTATGTTCTTTGTTACAGAACCTTTTATCTTAAAGACGGATATAAATCTTTGATAATTAATCTGAATGAAAGGATTATAGTTAAGTGTAAAATACAAGTAACTTTTGAATAGCGTAAAATACAATAAACTTATAAATTATTAAAACGCAATGAGGACTCGGAATAATAATAAAAAGCTAACATTTATAAAAATATACAAAATCCTAAATGTGAACTTTGAACGAACAATTGTCGGGTCATATTACCCCGTCGGTCCTTATCTGATACTCCCGTATCAGCATGTGAAAATTATGAACGAATAATATTTCAAAATGCATAGAGGAGAAATTAAAAAGAGCAAAATTTATTTACATTATTTACAAGCGCGCTATTACGAACATTTGTCGTCTAAAATTTTCTCTCTCAAAATTTCTTTAAAGTACATGTAATTAAATCTAAGTGTGTCTAAATACCAACACGAATAAATCACGAATCAATATGTATAAAACGAACAGTCTGTAATATTTGTCACCATGCAAATAACAAATGAACACTGTGTCTCTTTCACAGAAGTTCGATACTTGAATCTATATGGAAATATAAAACAAATCAGTAATATGTATATAAACATTGTTATTGCATTAAGTCATTGTTTTGTCAAATAAATCTGTTTTCCTCACCAACTCTATTTCCACCTGGAATGAACACTAAGAATATCCCGGAGATTCTCTTCAATCTGAATTTTGTTACTACATATTTTAAGTTTCAGGAACATTTGTCCGAACTAGTTCTGTAGCACTATATGCCTATTTATGTACACATCTTTGTACTAATACATCGAACACATCTATGTGAATGTAACCATTTATCAAAATGTCGCTTATACCTGATATCTGTTTTAAACAAAAAACGAAAAGTGTAGATCATTTCGATACTTGAAAAGGCATTGTATGGAACATCGCAATACTGATTGTAAAGCTAAAAATATATATTTGCAATTAAATAAAATCTCAACATACTCATTTAAAAATATTATGGTAACTTGGCTACGGATATAAAATGTTGGGAAATAATAAGGGGGGGGGGGGGGGGGGGGGGTCAAACTGTTGAACTTCAAATTGAGAAAATAAGACATAAGAACGAAATACGTATAAAATTCAAGTGTAAAAATCTTTCTGGTTGTAAACGTGCTGTGTATTTTTTTAAAAACAAAACAGGTTCTAATGGAATTTTTCGATACTATTTTGTCTAAATAAAGCAATTCCTACTTATATTATGATAAATGCAAATGACATTGTGTTGTGGTGTTGTTTAAAAAAAATGCATGTTTTGAAGTAAAATACATGTTTAACAATGGTTTCTTAAAATGCAAAAAGCAGTTAAAATGATTTTTCAAGATTTGATCGTTTCAGCATAGGATCGTCACTCCTATATTGAAACTCCTTTGAACACGAATTGGGTGACGAGTCCAAGTCATGCTCGAAAGGGGTCGAAAGAAATGCCAAAAGTTTGGTACGACGGTACCCGTTATACCATTGATAGAACGTGAAAATAACACCAATTTTGTTATTGCTGTTACTTGATGTATGAATTGTCACTGATGTTTGTCTGATAATACGACCATTAACTTGTGTAAAAACACTAGGTCCAAACTTACGACAAATATACTATGACAACCCAATATAAATTTGAATGTTTTTATAATTACATTACCGTTTGAGAAAAAAAAATGACTTGTTTTGTATATAAATTTCTTGATTATGTTAATATCTATCAAACTGTGAGAGAGAAAAACGACTTGAATGTAAGTTTTGCTATTCGACTTGAAAAGTGATGTGTTATTATAAAGTGTAAATCTACAGAAGAATAAGGAAAGGGGGGGGGGGCTATTTCTATCTCTTTGATTTACGTGCTTTTATACGTTTAGTTTGATCCATGCGAACTTTAAATTCGTGTCTTAATTCTGGAGGAATATTTTCTTCCGGTTCCCATGAATTGCTTCTGTTACCAAAACCTAACCATTTTATGTAATAATGCATTTTATTGTTTATACGTTTTGCTTTTACTATCCGTTCTACTAGATACAGATCTGAATCATCGTTATTTCGGTCATCATTTGTGTGCCGTTGTACCTGGGTATCGTTTCGTATAGGGTCATTAGAGTCGGGCTGTGTATCAGTTTGAACAATTTCATCGTCATCTTCAGCATTTTCCTCTTCATTGTCATCATCGTCTGACATTTCGTCGTCAGTTGGAACATCTACATTGTTTGTAGGCCTGTCTTGTGGGTCATAAAACTTTTTTAGCCTGTTGACGTTGATAAGTCCTTTAATTGGTACATCGTCAGAACAGCGCCGGAGTCTATACGTGCTTCTACCTTTAACTTCGGTTATGTAATACGGTCCTTGCCATTTATTACAAAGTTTTCTTGAATATCCAACTGGCGTAGTCTTTGTATCCATCCAAACTTTATCTCTAATTTTAAAAATTGCCTCTCTCGCATTTTTATCATGCTGTGCCTTGTATTTCTGCTGTGCTTCCAGTGAATTTTCTTTAGCTATCTCTCTGGCTAATAAGACATTCCTATGTAGTCCATCGATGAACAGTCTTGCGTCTGGTCCAACATTTGTGGGTGCTGTCAAAACTGTATCAATCAGCGTTCTGCATTCTCTACTAAACACCATGTAATACGGGGTATACTGTGTAGATTCTGTACATACGCTTGTGTTCATTGCATGAGCAATACTGGACAATTTATCCGGCCAATCTAATTGGTTTGCGGCGATGTATGTACGAAGTTTTTCGGCTATTGTTTTATTATTCCTCTCGCAAGTACTATTTGTTTGAGGTCTGTAGCTACTGGTCCTCATCTTTTTGATCTCGAATATATTGCAAACCTCTTTTAATATATTAGACATGCAATTTTGTCCTTTATCTGTAAGAATTGCATCTGGCGCGGAATAACGGCATATCCATTGGTTGTAAAATATGTTGGCTACAGCTTTTGCACCTGTATTCTTCATTGGAAAGATTTCTACATATTTAGAGAACGAGTCTACGACAAGTAAGACATGTGAATATCCATCTGGACTCTTTCTAAATGGTCCTAAAATGTCCATATGAACCCGTCTGAAAACGTCTAGTATTGGAAGTGGCTGTAAAGGTGTCGGGCGTTTGTGCGCATCCGGCTTAGCTCTTTGACACTGTATACACGTCTGTACGTATTGTTGAATGTCACTGTACATACCCGGCCAATAATACTTATATCTTATGGTATGATAAGTTCTTTCAATGCCACCGTGTCCACCAAGTAAACTGTCATGGTATGACTTCAGGATATCGTCTCTTAGGGTTGATGGTACTGCCAATCGTTTAACTATCCTATCCGCTCTGTGACCTTTTCCCTTCGGGAATAACAGTTTTTCTCGCTTGTCTGGTCTTGTCGGGTAGTTCTTTATCTAATATGTATCTAATGACATCTTTGAAATTTTCATCTGTTCGTTGATCATTTACGACTTTTTCTTTTGGACTTGTGGTTATTTCGCAAATGGACGCATATGGGTCTAACTCGATGAAAGTGGCTTCTGTC